CATTCCCTCCAAACAAAAAACAAGAATCATTAATTGTTCCGTTTTTTTCTTTTTCTCATGGAATTTAACTTTCATTCCCCCGTTTTTTCCAACCAAATGACCTGTTAATGTGCTTTTATGAATGCTTGTCTCTTTAGTCACTTCCTTGCATCATGTGAGTTTGCTCTTCGTTTCTTGTTATTCGTATTCACATCTTATTTCTATTTCTTAATTGCCTTGGTATCTGGAGAAATAAAAAGTGTTTATGAGGAAGAAAAATCTGGGTAGGTTGTTGAAGAGAAGAATAGTTTTCGGAAAGACTAGTATTTACTTTTTCATTTATTTTGTTGCAACCATGTTCATAATGTTGCTTGTTTTGCAGAGTTTGAACTCTGAAGACCAATTCGAGTGTCCGTGATAAGCTGTAGTCAGATAGGGCTTTGACGGAAGAGTATATCACTGTCAATAACGTTTCAGTTAATAGTGGACTTGGACTTAGGATGCCCCTCCATTTCATCTCGGCACTCTATTTGGTTTGCCTTCGTATTTAAAACTACTAAACCAGTTCTGTCCTTACATTACGTGGTTTAAAAAAATGCTCTAAGATTATTTACTATGAGTGGATGTAACCTGCTATATTTTCTGTTGTCTTTGTTTTTGAGGTATGGTACATTGCTCAATCTGGCTGTTAGGTCTCTACATCATTAATGTGACTGCTCTCCCTCTCTCTCTCTGCATCAAATTGTTTCTCAGTCTGCCTAATCCGCTTCACCCTGCTACCGTTTATCATCAATTGTTCATGTCCTTGCTATCATCTCATTACTCCGTCCAAATGAATTTGATACGCTTGAAAACAGTGATGCTAAGGTCCTCTCCCCCCACTGTCTCCGCAAATCTTCAAAGGCCATTTCTCACTACCCATCGTGCTTTGGTCAACACTACATTGGCTTCATTCATAGCTTTTGGTCAACAGTACATTGGCTTCATTGATAGCGTAGGTCATGTCGAGCATGAACACACCAGAACACCTGCAGTCTTGGTTATGTTGTATCTGGTTTTGCATCTTAGCAGCTGTGGATTCATGTTTATGGATCGGGTATGTTGCATATGTAAATATAGCCATCTTTTGTTTGTGTGTGGATGAAAACCCCATTTGTTTTTTGCCATTCCCCTTAGCCAACCAAGTTCCTGACCACTATGATGAAAGTGCATGGTTTAAGGAAAAAGAAACACAAATGCATTTGGCATTCCATGTTCCTAGTAATAGTTGGTGTGACTGGGAGCTGAGGTCCTTTGTTCTATGTAAAAGTACTCCCTTTGTCCCTCAAGCTTTGCCTCTTTCCTTTTTCATTCGTTTCAAAAAATTATGTTGAAAATATTTTTTTTCATCCGTTTCAAAAAATTATGTTGAAAATATTTTTTTTCATCCGTTTCAAAAAATTATGTTGAAAATATTATTATTTTCAACAAACTTTTACCGTCCACTTTTTATCATTTAACATTGTTTCGGTTTAGAGCATCTCCAATAGTATTGCATATATTCAGTTTTGGAGTTATACATTTTCCAATAGTATTTCATTTTCAACTGCAAATTGGGTTTTGCTGTATTTTAAACTCTAATGTGGGTTGTAATTTAGGGTACTCTATTTTTTCTTTTCTTTCATATCTTTATTACTCCATAAGAGTTTTTAAATTTTTTAAACTTACACTTTGTCTTTTTAGCTAACTTGTTTTTATTATTTACAACAAATTTTAAATTTTAAAATATAAAAAAGTAATAAGAAAATGAATGTACAAAGAAATATTATTTTGATTTTGGTGCAATGAGTTGGAGAGGGATTACTCTATATTTGATATTTGATTGAGTTTGGTGTGAATAGTTAAAGATAGTCTAAGTAATTTAGGCATCCCCCACCCCCTCTTTTTGCCACATTTGTGTTTTCAACATTCATGAATTTTTTTTATTTGTATGTTTTTATTAATTATTTGATAAAATAAAATATTCTTGACATCTCTAGTTTTGAATTTTTCATGTAATTTTTAAATATTTAATTTTTTTTTATATGAATATTTAAATAAAATGAATTGAAAAAATTTAATATTTTGGTTTGTTTTGTGAAATGTGGTAAGCATTTAGGGACGAAGGGAGTGTAATTTTGAGGTTAAAGCATCCGGAAAATATTGCTCGTCGTTGCTCATTGTGCTAATGCTTTACCAAAAAGTTACCTCTTCTATCTAGATTGTCGTTCAATGCCTTTAAGAAACGACTTAAAAATGTCGAATAATTGTTTAAAAGGAGTTTGTCACTCATCCATGTCAAATTATTTATACTCTAGAATATTTTAGATAAATTGTTAATTATACTCTGTAATTTTTTTATCAATATATAGAAAGTTAGAAAGTGAACAATGAATTTTGGATAAATGTTTATTATTTGTTCAATTTTGACTTTTTGCAGTTGATCATGTTAGATTTTGACTGATAATTAAATATTTCCTTCGCCCCTATAGATCTTTCAATTAGTTTTTTTATTTTTTCATCATAGATCTTTTCCTTATCTTTTTTAACATTTAACATATTATAACTACTTCACTTTATTTATTACACATCACTTACTCCATTTAATATACTAGGAGTTGTACTTTACAAATTTTCATTAAGGGTATTTTTATAATTTTCACCTTTTTCCAACTTTTCTTAAAATCTACAAAAAGTTAAAACAAGAACATCTTAGGGGTATGGAAGGAGTTTATAATACTCCGAAGTATATTAATTAAATAGATATAATAATATTTTGAAAATATTTTATAAAATGAATTTAATAAATTATTTAAAAAATAAATCTATATCGATTTCAAATATCAGTTTCAAATATTAAATTTATTTAATTAAAGATCAAAATTTATGAATATTTACTGCAAAAGATCTAAATTGAACAAAGCATCAACATGAAATTAATATTTAATATACAAATCATGATATGCAGAACAATCTAACAGATATAACGAATCGGAAAAATAAATAAATTGTTACCCAAACAAATGTTCATGCGAATTAGATTTTAAATGGATCAGATCTAAAATTACCAAATCTATACCTCTTTACCAGTTAGATATCTTCAATTCGAAATTTCATTTAAGCGGATACGCGCATAAATGGTAATCGAATTAACGATTATCTATCACAATTCACAACCCTAATTAAAATACCCTGGAGCATAAACAAATTGGACAATTACCCTAATTTTTTTACACCCAAAACACATATTCTATTACCCACTTCAACTCAACCTTTACAAGCATCCTGCAAATCTACCCATTTCTTGCCCTTCATTTCTACCCTGCATTTCTTTTGATGGCTGCCACCAACACTGTAAAACAAGTGTTTCTTCATTTCCTTCCCCTTTATTTTCTGCACCTCATCTCCAACTTCCTCCAAAGAATTGGCTGCCTTGAATATGCATCTGAAACTCATTTGGGCATGTTTTTCTCTCCTTGTAGCCCCGGAAAAGTTTTTATGTTCTAACACTACACGCCTTCCCACGTGCATGCCGCTCGATCCATGCATGTGAAACCTTACTTTTTTTTTAAACTTAGTTGCGTGAAATGACAAAGAAAGATGCATGAAATGACATAAATGTATGAGGAATATATTTACTTAAATACGACTAAAACATAATGAATTTTGCAATATAGGATCATATGTTTTTATTTCCCAATGTAAGATCATTAGTCATTAACCATTAGTCATTATTCAAGTAAACGTCCACCACCATTGGACATTATTCATTCCACTAAATAGGGTACTCTTTTAGAAATAAGTCCTACATGAAGAATTATTTATATGATAGTCCTATTTAGTGCAAATTTCACTAAATTAAATGTATTGATAAAAAGTGTATTGATATAATCAAGTATGGGCATGGAGAAGTGAAACCTACTGTTAGAACTGGTAGAGAAGCAAGAAAGGATTCTCTTATATATAGTCCTACCACAATCCCACAAGAAGCAGACAAAAACCAAGCACATGAACTAATTTGATCATAAATTCATAAAACTATCATTTTTACACAAAAAGTAAAATGGGAAAAAAGCAGCAGGGAAAACAGATTTACTTTATTCAGAGTTAAAAATTCATACCTCTGTTTAATTTAAAGTGTAAAATGTATTATCTATTAAGTAATACTTTCACTCTATATTGATAATGTCACTCTATTGATTTTTTTACTCATTTGATAAGATAAAATAAAATAAATAAAACATAAAATAAAATGGAATTGAATAATAGACAGTATTTTACTATTTTTTTCTAATGTTATTGTTTACTGGGTACATCCCATCCCTATTTACTTTACTGAAATGATGAAGCCTATGATCCTAGGGTACTTCTCTATCACAGTTTTGATCATTTTATTCATTTTGAATTGTCTCAAATATTTGTATTTATGTGACCAAAGTCTATTCAGACTTATCAGTTCAACAAAATAAAAAAAAAATGTTTGCACCCCATTCATACACCATATAAAAAAAGTTAATCTCACAATTATGAATACAGTTATTGAGCTCTTAAATTTGAATAAGTTCTTTTAAATCTTCCTAAGCTTGCCTAGGTAAAGGAAAAAATATACTCGTATTCCGTATGAAAAACGTGGGCAAACGAGCAAAAAAAAAAGTCCGAAAGACGTTTTTTAGTCAAACGATCACAATCCCATTTCTTACCTCGAACCAACATTTCCAAAATCATATTGGAATGGAAACTAAGCAATAATCAACAAGAAAATTCAAAATGAGACTATTATAATGAACACGCGCACACATTTGCAATCAGAATCATAACTAAATCCATGAACCATATGAATAAAAAGTGGGACCATTCTCATTAAGGTTTATATTTTTTGAAAATTAGAATCGGGTGCTTCAGAATTAGAACGAGATGTTTCTATACCTATTCAAATTGAGACCAACAAATGATAAATGATAAAAGTTATTGCCGTTATAAAAAGTTATCTCTAGATGACATATTATGACATCACCCTATGTTTAGACCCTATGATGCTTGGTTCAATCCGAAGTAATTTTTATCCCTAAATTCCGATTAACCTTCCACCGAGCACACCCCAACCCTCCAAGCCACCCCCACGTTGTCCCAGTTTTGACACTAGATTGTCACTCAATTTGGATGCCCGGTTGATTAGGGGGCGAGCAATTTCTCAGATATTAATAAAGGTATGACAAGTTTTAGAGACGAATGAATAATCGTAGACAGATCGAGTCTAATTATATGACATTAGACTTTTGAATTATTTTGAAGTTTGTGAACTAAAACATGTTTTCACATTAAGATTCAAAATGTTTGTAATGGGCAGTGTATTCCTTTATTGGTAGCAAAAATGATTTTTTGTTTGAAGCACAAAGAATGTTAAAAATCAGCAGCAATACCAAAATTGGGCAGGTCTTGAAAGCCACGCTTTAAACTTGGCATACAACTCACCGTCCAAAAACCACACTGGGAGAGCTTTCTCCTTGACCTTTGCAGTGCTCGCCCATGGTTTTGACGCTGTAAGATTTCTGTAATCTCTGCCCTCGCTTTTTCTCATTTTCTGCACAACATTTGGGAATCATACAGGTTTTTTTTTTTGTTTTTTTGGTACAAGAATCATACATAAAATTGTTTAGGGATCTGTTTGTGTTTGTTTTCTCATGTTTTTCTTGTTTGATGAGCTGTTCATGAAATTGTGATATTGAAGTGGTGTGTAATAGAGTTTCAGAATACCTAGATAATTTGTCTGCGCTCCATTTTGTAATTAATTTTGGTGTTATTGTTTTTGCTACCCGTATTGATGTAATAATCATATTATATTTTTGCATTTGGTTCTGGTTTGGGAGGGAGTGAGGTTGGATTCTGAGTTCTAACATTACAAGGGCTGTGGGGGCAGGATGATAATCCCTAGTCTGTGACAGATTTGCTTGAAATTGATGTTAGTGACATTTGAAAAACTGAAAAGGGGAGATTGCAAATGGTGCCTCTTGAAGGATTAATCTGTAGAAAAGATTGGGATCGTAAATAGATACTCCTGTGAAAGGTTCCACCATTGAATTGGCACTGAGATTAAAGTGAAATTGTGTGGTTGAATGTGATGTATAGAAATTATAAGGGCCACAGATTCTTTTCCAAAAGTGGAAAGTGGAACCTGTTCATGGGACAGAGAGAGTATTTGGTTTTTATTTCCTTAGTTGTATTTTTGAGCTATGAAGGAGGTCGCTTGTGACCGGCCGGTGGTAGCAGGGGTGGATTTGGATGTTGGTCGCTGGCATATGAGGTGGTTAGGCGATTCTGGAAAATGACTTTTGGGGAAAACATATACTAAGACTTTTCCTGGATTTCGGTTCTATTTTTCGATAACTTTAGAAGTCATTTTCCGTTTTCTCATTTCCAGGTGCGGTCAAACTTAGAAAAATCTGGAAATTAACTTTCAGAAGTCATTTTTGAGTTTCCATATGGACCCTTAAAGAGAGTTGAATGATGCAAATGGAATAATGCTTATCATGCCTGCTTTGTTGCTTGATAGTATCGACTACATTGTTGAAATTTCACTTACTCTGCTATTTTCTTTCAGTTCCCTTGATTTTTTAGTTTGTTTCCGGCCAAATGTTCTTCCAATCTCTCCTAAAAAAATATTTCCTGAACTCCTCTGTTTATTATAGGTGGGTTTGTCTCAAATCTGTTTGTTATGGTTCAAAAACTGGCTTAGAGATTATTTGCATATTTTCATATTCACTGTTAAATATGGAGTATTTGGAATAAAAGACTTGCTTCAGCTGTTCCTTTGAAAATGTAATTAAATCCGGAATCCGGGATAGAGTTGCTCTCCATATGTAAATCATTATTAAGATTACATTTTTCCAAGGGTTGCACTAGAAGTCTAGAATTTCATGACACATCTTCATGAACTATGAATTACGAGTTTAATCTTCAACAACATATTCATGCTATCTTGGACAAGGTCACAGCCATGCCTTGGTGCATGACTGCAGGCTATTTGATGATGTCATTGTTCTTTTAGATGAATTTAGAGAAGGTATAATTGTGTAACTTCTAAGCTTGGATTATGGAGTTCAACTTTAGAATTTGAGGGCTTTAAGCTAAGCATATGTAAGACATCATACATGAAATGTAGATTCTATAGAACTTATGTGGAAGGTAAGATAGACTTAAGATTTAAGGGTGTTCATTTGATAAACCTAAACCGCACCGAGATTTTGGTTTACTATATTTGTAACCAATTACTGAGCCAAAGTAGTTTGGGTTGTTCCGTAAATGCCAAAATTATTTCAGTGTTGTTTTTGTTTTTAAAATGCCAAACTGAACTTTAATAAATATAACAATTTTATAATATTATATATAAGTTTATAATATGGAAATACTGCATCATTCTCTAGAATCCAAAGGCTTCAGATTGAGCAAGTCTAAGATTGAATACTTGGATTGTTGCTTTAGTGGTTGGGTGACAAAGTCGAAAGTGGAAGTTAGGATTGATTCACATCTTGTGCCTAAGAGAGACAAGTTTTGGCAACTTGGTTTGTGATTCAGGCAGATGGGGAGATCGATGGGGATGTTGTTAATTGTATTGGAGTCGTTTGGGCAAAGTGGAAGCTTGCTTCAGGTGTCATATACAGCAAGAAGATATCGGCTTGCATGAAAGGGAAGTTCTACTCGGTCAATAGTCAGAATGGCTATGCTTTATGCAGCGGAGTGCTGGGTTTGGCTGTGAAGAAAACCCACATTCATCAACTCCATGTGGAGAGATGCGGGTGTTGCCGTGGATGTGTGGGTACAAGAAGTTAGATAAGATTTAAAGCAAAGTTATTCAGGGATGGGTGGGAGTGGCACCTATGCAGGATAAGATGCATGAAGGTAGGCTGAGATGGTTTGTGCATATGATCAAAGATACGATCTTAGAGAAGAACGTCTTGAGATCTAGGACCAGAGTAATTGGGTAGGCTGTTTGTCCTTGGTTGTAGTTTTTGTATGAATGTTTTTTGCTATTGTCTTTGTGTGCTCTCTGTGTTTGGGGTCTAGTTGCCAATGACGATTTGTGTGCTTGCTGTCTTTGTGTGCTTTTCTTTGCCCTTAGTCTTCTCTTTGCTTTTTGCTATTTGCTACTACTTTGTTTGTGCTTTATGTCTTCTTTGTTGATTTATGTTGACTATGCTTGAGTTGGAAGTCTCTTGAGAACAGCCTTTTTGGTTTTGAGTAGGGGTAACGTTTAAGGTCTGCCTACACACACCCTCCCCAGACCCTACTTTTACCCATTGTTTGGATGATAAGAAAAGAGAAGGAAAGAAAATACAAGGTGAGAAAACACACATTACGAAGCATTTTCTATCGTTTGTTTAGGTGAGAAAATGAGGGAGGAGAGAAAACTACCCGTAGTACCCACAAAAAGTTTTCTCTTCAGCATAGGTGATAAAACAGAATCATCCTCCTCCCACCACAAGATTCTTATGTTTCCATTTTTTTCATCTCTTTTCTCCATTTTCTTATCATTTTCTATCAATCCAAACACTAATTTTTTCTCTTCAATTTCTTTCCTCTCATTTTCTCTCCCCATCCAAACAAAGCATTAGTGATTAGTGGGATTTTATTGGGTTTGTTGTTTGTTGTTATATATACATTTATATGTATAATTATTATGTGTGCGTGTATTAGGCATTTAGGTGCAACTGAATTACCAAAAAATGTCTTCGGTTGGTTTAGGCTATCCGACATGAGGAAAGATCTTGTTCGTTATCGTATTTTGGCTCTATTATTGCTGATTGTATGGCACTCATGGGGTGCTTTGAGTATGTGTCTTTGGGTGACTTCTCCTTTCAGTCTAATGAGTTTCACTATGTTCAACTCATTCTATTCAACGAACAACGAATTGTTACACTCATTCGCCCGTAACAACTAGTGTTGAAAACTGGTTTTTGTTTGTCGTGCGTGTAAGGTTTTGGCTATGCATGTTCATGTCGGAACAACGTCATGGGAGGCTGTTCCCCCGACTTTCATTCTTTCTCTATTAAGTTAATGGATGTGTTTTTTCCTTCAAATAAAATTACCAAAAACTGTATACCGAATCAAATATTGAAATTTTGGGTAGTAGACCCTGATTACTGAACAATTTAATATTTGTTACATACCAAATTCTCGGTTTCAGTTAGGTTTGTTCGGTATTACCTAACAGTTCGCATTCCTATTATGATTAGAGCATTAGAGTTAGAAAGTACAAGGAAATAGAGTATTCAGACTTTTCACTGTTTAGGTTGTATGGTTCAACGTGATGAAGAATTTGATGCGGACTTTGCGCTTAGAAATGTGGCACGATGGAAGAAGTTTAGGAGTGCAAGGCAAATCGTGGGTGGTAAAATATAACCACTTGCACTGTCAAGAAATATTTTATAGAGTAGCTATAGGCACACTTTATTGTATTCACTAGAGTGCTGGACGGTGGAATATCAATATGTATATAAGATCTCAATAACTACAGTGATAACGATGTTGAGATGGATTTGTGGTCAAAATTAAGGAGAGACTAAGAATAAGGTGATAACAGTGAAAAGTACGAGTAACCTCATTTATGGGCACAATGATGGAAAAGTAGAAAGCTATTTGAGATGGTCTCTAGAGACGGTTGACGTATGCACTTATTAAAAGCTTTAAAGACATGAAAATACAAATAAAAGGGGCTGAGAAACATAAAAGATGATGTGGACAGAAACATTGAGATGAATCCCCATGAGGTGATGAGTATTAAGCATAATGAGGACACGTCTTTCAACACGAACAAGTGGTCTCACTTAATTTATATAGCCTACCAACCTTGTCTAAAAAGTATGGTCTGGTTATATTCTTGGATGTTTATCTAATTTGATTCATCATGGTTGCATGACCAAGTATTGATCAAATGATGTGTCGATGAACTTTTGTTTCTTCTTTCTTCCGTTGTGGAAATGAGGTAAGAATCAAATTGACTAGTGATGCTTGTCTCTTGCATACTTTTAATATTTTTTGTTTTTTGTTATTGTTTAGGGGATAGTAGGATTTCTTGTTATTTCCTTTTTGAGACCACACAAAGGAGATACATTTTAATGTTCTTTTTTACATTAAGGTTACCTAATACTTACCTTTTCTATCTCTTCAGTTAGTCGGTAGTGTGGAAAAGATCATCTGATGGTACATTGGTACTTTGGCAATCATCTTTTGCATAATTGCATTTTGATCCCTAAAGTTCAAAAGATTATCAGTAAGCCCATTTTTTTAGATTTGTTTGTAAGGACTGGAAATAATACATTTTCAAGAGTTTCTGCATGGTTTGATTGTTATGCTCATTGAGTTTTCCTTGCCTAGATGTGTTCAATCTGATCTCTTTTTCCCATTTGTCATTTGGGATTTCCGAACACGCTATCATATGTGGCTGGTTTTTAAGTGCTTAGCATTGGAGAATGGGCTCACAGCATGACCAACACCTTGTCGAAAGATGCAGAGAATCTGCGTGTGTGGAATCGAAAGCTGATGATGGCCTCAGCCTGTGTTCCTTAGATCCTCCAAGCACTTCTCAGTTATCAGCTCTTGGAGCTATTTCAGGAAGGTTTAATCCTGCTGTATACTACAAGAGAAAGTTCCGGAAAAACATCTTTTCTACTTGCGCCCCCCAATCATTAGCTAAAGTCAAATGTGTTGGTGGTTGTGATTATGCCATTTGTTCCGAAGCTCTTTCAAGGGGTGGGACGGAACACAAACTGTTTGAATTGGAGGTCGACATAAATGCAAGTAGATATTCAAGTAGCCCCCCTGTAGAATGCAATGCAGATCCACTCCTCTCTAAGTCAGAATCTTCTAATGGATGCCATGATGGGGGCCATCATTGTTCAGAAGAAGCTGCTAAAAGTGATACAGTCAGTTTATTGAACCCATGCCTAAATGAATTTTTTTCATCTTCTGAGTCAAATTTGAATCATCGTTCAGCTTTTCTAAATAGTGATGTGGATGGTGCTGGTGAGTGCTCTTCTTCTGGTGCACTGTTCACTGAAGAACTGCATGATGATATGCCAGAAAGGGATATATGCATTTCAGTTCTTAAAAAGCATGGGCTGCTTACGAGGATTAATATGGATCAGGTTTCCACTACTACCAGTAACTGCTGTCTAGTCCCATGCAAGGTCTGTGGCTGTTCAGATACTACACTAAAAATGTTGATTTGTGATAATTGCAATGACGCATTCCATCTCTCTTGCTGCAATCCTCGTGTAAAGAAAGTGCCATATGGTGAGTGGTTTTGCCTCTCTTGCCTAAGAAAGAAGAGAAAACTACTGAGGGAGAATTCAAGCAGTAAAACTTTACATGTTATAGATGAAGCCGGTGGCTGCAACAACATATTGTCTAAAGGAGAACCCAAACACTTAGATTCCATGTTGAGAGGGAGAGAACCATATCACTCTTCTCCTCGCATTGGTGATCAGTTTCAAGCTGACGTTCCTGTCTGGGATGGTCCTGTCAATGAGTACGTTCTGTTATTACCTTTTTTTATTGATTATTGTTGTGGATCTCTTTATTGAAGACAAAAATGTGCTATGATTTAAACAGGCGTATGAGCCTCACATCTTTAAACAATCACCGAAACTGCTTCACTTTATTCTATGCTCTGATTTGTGGGATGCACTTGCTTGAATTTTACATGTTTGTGGAGCTATTCCATTACATTATGTTAAAACATTGTGATATTAGGAGGCTAGCGAGTGACACTAGTAAGCTTCCACCTGCTAGATAGTGGAAGCAATATACGGAACTAATAGTAGGAAAATAATAGTTATATGAATACAACTCCAACCGTCCCAAAATAAGGTTCATAATTCGGTTTACGATGTTTGGCTGAAGTTATTTTCAAGTCAATTTGTTTAAGAAATGGTGTAGAATGAAAAATTAAATGTATATATTTAAAACCACATCAAAAGTTTTACAAAACAATAGGTGTCACAATTATATTTTATCAAATTATAAATGAATATTTGTAAGGAAAAAAGATATAGTTTGACCTATGAATAGTTATGTCACTATGTGGAACTTTATTTTGGGACAGATGGAGTAGTACTTATGATGATATTAATTGATATCAACAAATGAGAACACACCATTACTCAGGCATAAGGAAGGTATTTGAGAGCTTGGGAAGGTGCAAGGAAGGTATTAGGAAGTGAGCTAGGTAGGTGTTGAGCCATACGGGATCACCAACTATCTGGGTCTGGCCAAACGCTGATAGTTGATCCGGGCTGAACGGGACTGCCAGATACATGAGCTGAACGGGATTTCCTGATATTTAAGATGAATGGGATTGCCATGTATTTGAGCTGGGACCATACGGGACTGCAGATATTGAATCAGTGATGTCATATATTTCTACGAGTAGAACATAACTGAACTACATTTTCAAGCACCTCCCTTTTATCTCCCTCTTCTTCCTTTTTTTTTAAATTTTAAATAATATTTGTTCAAGATATTTTAAACAGCCCTCAAGTAAAAATACTGTTTACCCAAAGGCTTTTATTTTCCAAAAGTACTGTTCCCTCAACCCCTCAAAGCGTCAAAGGCATTTATTGCCCAGCACTTCATCAAAACTTTCTAATGTGTAGTACTTATGATTATATAAATTGATAACAACACATGAGAAGAATACTCCATTAAATAGGTAAAGGGGAGCTTATGAATGTGTTAGGAAGCGAGCTAGGAAGGTGGCGTGTGTGGATGAGTTGTAAAGTATACTATTTCCTAATATTTCAACATCTACCATAATGTGCATGCGAGAATTTTAGTGCTGTTAATTTTTCAACACGACACATGAAGCATGAGAGGACTGACATGTCTAAAATTAAGAAATGTCATGCTTGGCACACATATTCCACCTCTTAGTTGCACTCAGAAAAAGAAAGAACTGTGATGGGAAATGAGATGGCTGTTTAAGGTTCTCAGAAAGCTTTCTACTATAGTACTTCTCAAAGTCCGCAAGATAGATTCATAACAACTAACATGTGCATGAATCTGTTTTGAATACCATCTCATACCAACACTATAATGTTATGTATTTTGTATACTTGTATTCTATTTATTACTCTGTTAATGCAAATTCATGTATACTGTGATGTGTGTCGCATTCTGTTTACCATTCTGTGTTTATGCAAATACATGTAACATTGTACATTATTTCACTTTCTTAGATTTATGTGTGCTTGCATTGGATTTCAAATATTCCTGTGTAAATTCTATTTTGGTTCTTCATACCTGATGCAGTGAGGCTAGTCCTACCACTCAACCAGTCGAAATGGATGCTTTTGCAAGCTTGCACGTAAGATTTATTTTGAAATTTATTTTTTGTTCCAATTGGTTTCAAGATCTATAAAAGTTAAGATGTTTTTGCAGGAAAGCAATGTGAACAAGCCTTTTAGAATCAGCTCTATTGGGAATTGGCTACAATGCCAGGAGGTTATATTAGGAATTGGGGAGGGTGTTGATGGAACTATCTGTGGGAAATGGCGCAGGTAAAAAAATTATCTTTCTAAATTTTTTTGCATACTCAAGTGTGTGGAATCTTTTAATTTCTGGCAATATCTATTTATAATAGACCAAAGCACATATACCCTACAGGAGACATTTATAATAAGAATGTCAGCACAGTTTGTTTTGTTCTTGCTCCTGAATGTTATTATGTAGCCTATAGTGTGCCTAAGTCTGCTGTATAGTGTGATTTAGTCTGCTGTATTTGCTGGGAGTGTGGGCTTTCTTCTTAATGCATTCAACACTTCCCTTCAAGCTGGAACATGTAGTTCTAATGCTCCAAACTTTTCAATTTTAGGTCCTCTAGGATGAAATGGTTGTAATAATACATTCATGAATAACAATCCCTAACATTTCAAGATACGTAGTCTTAACATCTTCATGGTAGAGGTTGGCCTCAATGCATTGAAGTACAGAAATTTTTTGGTAGGGATTGGTATTAACGGGCACAGTCCTTTTTAGCAAAATTTGGTAGGAGGAAAATCACTTTGCTACTGATCTATAAAAGAAACACAAGATTGTGCAAACTACAGTGGGATAAAACTTATAAGACATCATGAAGTTATGTGTGTGAATGAGAACAGTCCTTGGAGAAATGTATTGGTATACCAGAGAATCAGTTTCAACTTATCATGGACAACTGAGGTGATCAGTCTTTAAAATCATCTAATGGAATATTATTAGGTTTGTACATTTTATGTAGATTTTGAGAAATCTTACAACCAGTGGGCGTAATTTGGTGGGCTATGACAAAGACAATCCAATTATTAAATAATGCATATTTTGCATACCAATTTTCCATATTTGGGAGGTTAATATTCTGTTGCAGTTTCAATGATATTATTCCAGCACTAATCTTTTGTTTAATTGACCCCTTTGTTGCCTTTTTTTGCCATCACTTACGTATGTTAGGTGTACATTGCATGGATGTCTCACTGTCTCTCATACTACATATAATTGTCTCAACTTGGATCATTTTGAACTCTGGTCCAATTAATATTTAATCCCAACAGAGGGTTTTGTTACAGGGCACCACTTTTTGAAGTTCAGACAGAGAATTGGGAGTGTTTTGGATCTGTTCTTTGGGATCCAGCACATGCTGACTGTGCTGTACCTCAGGTACATTAATCCATTGTTTTTTATTCTTTAATCTTTCTTACGCAAGTTATTTTGGCACACAATTCCTTCATTGTATCTGTTTCTCTTCTCCCTTTTGATGAAAATACGCTTAATTGAGTTCCATGANCAACCCCCCCCCCCCCCAATTTTAACATTATTTGCAGTTCAGGTTTTACTACATTTAGGATGTCCCCGAGTTCCTATTTTTTTACATGAATCACTCTTCTAATTGAGCTTTGCATCACGATATGCACTGTTTAGGACATGTCAACATATATATTATTTCCCTTGCAATCAAAACTAGGAGAAATTAAAGAAATCTAGGCAGGAAACTTGAGCTGGGAGCCTGGGACATCGGAAATAACATTAGACAATTTTCTTTGTCAATGTGCTGTCCTAGGCTCCTAGCTACTATAATTCTTGGATATCTTGTCTCGTCCAATTGTCTTTTATAGTGATGCTATCTATTGAGTGATTGACCCATCTTAAGAATCTTGAAAGTTGGCTTCTGCCTCTTTCGTAACCTTAAAGCGTTTTGATTATAAAAAATATATGATCCGTGCTACTGCTTTTGTAGTAGAGAAGCTTCGATGTGCTGTACGCCAAGGCTGAACAAACACTTCTGTTCTCCCCTTCGCTCTACTATTTTCTTCTATTTTTTCACTTTTCTGCATTTTCGTCATGCTTGTCTATTATGTCTCTGAGGCATCATTTTTGGCACATCTCTCCTTCAAATTTTGTGACATGTCTTTTGTTTCAGGAGCTAGAAACAGAAGAAGTTCTAAAACAATTGAAGTACGTAGAGATGGTAAGTGTCAATCATCTTTGATAGCATTTTATTTTATTATATTTGGTTTATATTTATGAGTTTTATTAGTTATATATAGGAGTGTTAAGGCATAAGTCTCCCTCTCTCTTTATCTCTCTCTCTCTCTCTCACACACACACACACACACACATTAGTATGTGTTTTTTTGTGCTCTACACAATGACTTATATATTGAGCAAACAAATAATCTGCTATTCTAATCCATCTTGCTTCAAGATTTTTTGGTGAAACCTTATATTCCTCCCTTACAATCACAAGCGTTAGTTGTTCCTTGCAAGTATGGGAAGGGAAATGAAGAGTGGGACCGATGGACTACTCCCAACCTCCCTATGTTCTAGTTAACACATAACAACCCAGTAAACTGCCAACTCCGTTAGGGTTTTAGGGCCAAGATGTACTCTTACCACTGTAAAAAAAACACAATTGTTTCTGTTAGACCCTTAATGCATTCTGCTGCATTTACTGCCCAAAACATCATTGAGAAGCAAAGGACGTCTAATGTGTTACTTTGACTTAAACCATTATATAGCCAAAGCTAAAACATTGTAAACCGTGATTCTTTTAGCTCCATTGGCTAAAGATACACACTCAGTATGTGCTACTTGATTCACAAAGATATTACTCTCCGGAATGGGAAAAAGAGCAAAACAAATGTTTCGGTTATAGTGATTGAGTAAGGATTCATTTTAGATTTTGACTTGATGACAATTGAAATGAACAGTTTGCAAAACACTTCTTGCTTTCCAGCTGAGATAGAACGTCTGTGGCAATGTTTTAGTATTGGACGCATACTCGACTAAATCAAAATGACCCATTAAACTTTCCTTGATTCTTACTCTGTCACGTTTTGGACAGTGAATGCGACTATGCATCTAGGGTCTAACGGAAAAAACCTCTGTTTTTACACGAATAAGACTGCATACATCTTGACTTCTCAAATTTGGAATTATACTAGGTTGTTTTAGTTTAGAATATTTATGGCAGCTTGACTAACAAACATACATTATTCTGATCAGTTGAGACCACGGCTTGATGCGAAGAGGCGCAAGTTGGACTGCACCAAGCATAGCAGTGACTTGCAGAGTTGTACAGAGACTTGAAAATATTGTGGAGTCCCGGGAGCGTGCAGATATTTGAAGTATTAACATGTATACTATAATGCCCTTGAGTTGAACAGTCGCCAACACGGGTCAAAATGACGAAGGTTGCCAATTCTTTTTTTGTTTCAAACGGCGCTAACTTGTCTTGACTTAACCCTTTATGATATGATATTTGGATCCGTTTGAACAACTTATGATTTAAATGTGGGTAAATTTGAAGAGGAAGAAGAAAGTGATCCCATGTCATTTAGTCTGTGAGCTTAAAATGATCAGGCCTGTTTGGGCATGTTTATTGTCAAGAGATGATTGTCCTTTTTTTTGGGGTTTGAATCAGGGTCTTTATATAACAACCATGAACCATGCCAGGTGCACACCAAAGAACGTACTCCAAGTTTTACACCATAGGTGTGCGCCAGCACTTGGATTATTCACGTTGTACAAAATACTAGTGCGGTCGGAAAATTGTGCACTAGTGTTTTGTGTTGTGTGAACCGTCAAAGTATCGGTGCGCACCTGTAGCGTACAACCCTGGGTGTAAAGGTAGCTTTAGAGCTTGTTCTCAGAAACAGATTTAAATATAACTATATTCAGTTCAGGTTAGATCAAAATATAATTTATTCCCATCAGATTATAATTCAATCATATCAGGTAAAAAGAGCACGCCTTTATTCTTCGTATAACCCTCCCTCTTCCTTTTTTAGGCAAAGAGTAAGCTTTGTTACACCGTGCTTGTAACACTCAAAATGGAACAATACACAATGGTCTAGGAGATGTAAGCATAGCCTTTATTCTTAAAGGTTGTTGTTGAGAGTCCTTGAGTGTAGTGCTCCAAGGAAAGTGGAATTACTGTATAGTTTTATGTTATCCACATGAAGGAGTGTGGTGGGGTACAGAATATAGATGGGTATATTTTGGTGTAATCTAGCATTTTTGATAATATTATAGAGTGCTGGTGCAACTTATTTTTGTTAGTTATTTAATAATATAATATAGTCTTGTCGCTTTTTGTTTTATATAATTTTTGTTTTAGTTTTTAAACATATAAATTTAGCTTTTTTAATTTTTACATCTACAATCAAATAAATTGAATGAAAATAAAGTCGGTCAAACTTTGTAAACAGAAACGGGAAGAACATTTTAGGACGATTGGGCTATGGAGTATTTGAGAACTATTTCATAATAAGTACTTTGTGCACTATGGGGAGGGTGTTGACACGCAGGGGAGGGATAAGAGTAGGTGGCGAGTGGCGAAGGATGGTGGAGAGGGGGTGGCGTTGGGAGTCGAGGTCGGGTGGTGGGTGAACAAGGGGCTGGTGGATGGAGGAGGCGTCGTGGGGAGGTGTGAGTGGCGAGTGACTGGGTGTGGGGTAAGTGGTAAAAAATATTTTTCTACCACTTATATCATCAAACACACATCATATGTCTTTTAAAATCTTTTTCTTTTAAATTTTTAATAGATTTAAGAATGAGATAATTTTGTGTCAACTTTTAAAAAAATTTTCTTGATGTGATGAGTAAAAAAGTATGATACGATGTACGGAGTATATATATTAATTTGAATAGATTTTATGTGATAAATAGGATAAAAAGTAATAGGGGTATAAAATAGTTTTTAATAGAATATTTTTTTAGAGACATGTGAAAATAAAAAGAAGAAAAGTTCTAAAGGACAAACGGAGTAATAAGTGACTAACTAGATTTAGTACCCCCATGATTTGAAAAATAGACATACATGTCACATTGATTTCAAAACTCATTTCTAAAATACCAATGGTTTTAAAACCTTGAGCAGACGTCCCTTTCAATTATTTTTCGTTCATTTTTCGGTGGAGAGGACCATTGATGCCTAATTGTCAAACCACCATGGGCATCAAAATTCAATATCTTATTCTCTGTTCATTTTTATTTTTTAAGAAATTGTTCTTTATAATGCTTTTAAAAATCAAAAGTGTTTGTGTTTGAAATAAAAATAAATGAAATAAAAGAAACTAACATATACGTGCAAATAAGGTTCTTTTTAGGACGTGTAAAAATTTTAATTTTTTAGATGTTCCAAAACCTTATTCTTTTTAATTTTTAAAATAAAAAGAGGAAAATGTTTTTAAAAAGTGAGATTTTGACATCAGTAAAAAAAAATTTCCTTGTTCTTTTCAGTCTTCCTAAAATTTGAAATTTTCAAACATTCCAAAAAGAATTGTATGCGCCCACTTCATGACTATGTTCTTACGTTGTACCTTTAAAAGTGTTTTTTGTATATATTTTTTCACTTGTTTCACTTTTATTTTATTTCCTTTTTCTATTTTTTATTTTCTTATTATTTTGGAAAACAAAAATTGAAACTTTTTAACTTGGTAAATGAAGTATATAAAAATTTATTTATTTTTTCAATTATTTTTCTTTTAAACACTAACAATTTTGAAAGCTTAAAATATTGTAAAGGATAATTTTCAAAAAATAAAAAAATGAATGGAAATGAGGATTGTGAGATCTTACATTCCTTTATTTGAAAAATATGCATCAATGCTTCTTTTTTATCAAAAAAGTAAACAGAAAATAATCGAAAATGGTGATCGTGTAATATTTTGAAATTATATAAATGTTAAAAAATTTGAAAACAAAATTAAAGAAATACTCTCTTCATCCACAAATACATTTCACGTTTACTATTCACTATTTCAAACTTTATTCACTTTGATTATCTTTTTTCTTCACCCATTTGATAAAATAATATAGTCAGTCACCTCTAGTTTTGTAGATCTTTTGATATAGTTTTTTAATATGTAATTTTATTTTTAAATTTTACACCATTTTTCATATAAAATGATTTGAAAATAACTTCAGTTAAGCATCATAACACGCAACGAAAAGTTTATTTATGGGCGGAGGGAGTATTGATTTCACTACGAGATACACTAGAACTATTAGGTCCTTAATAATTTTGTATTAAAACTTTTAGAAAACAATATTTCCTTTGAACCAAAAATACGCTTAAGGTTATTTTTTCTTCACCTGATCTGAATAGTTATGATTTGTTTGAAATAAATTTTACCTGATCTGAATGATTATGATATGTTTGAAATAAATTTTAATCTAATCTAATTCCAATAAAAAATAATATTCCCTCTGTCCCCAGCTTGATTACAAATTGGGGTTTACGAGAAAAAATATCTCATCGAATAAGATATAAAATTTATATATTAAAAAACTACGTCAAAAGTTCTACAAAATAAGAAGAGGCATGAATATTTTATTTAATCAAATACTTAATAAAATTAAATAAACAAACAAAAATTATTAAGAGGAGAAAAAAAAATTTATAATGAAATTGGAGAGGGAGGGAGTAATTAATAAGAATAAACACTCTTATTATTTTGAGAAAGGTACATTTGCTTATTTGGTACTCGGTAGTCGGTACTATGGAACAAATTTGTCAATATAATTTGGCCGGTATTTGAGCATGCGCATTTAATTACAGAGTATTAAACCTGCCCAATAGAGGATAAGTGAAAACGAGCACGGCAAAATGGGTGTCGCCACCGCAACCACCATCCCCACCTCCACCTGCGACGGCGATTCGGAACGTACGGGTCTGCTAAACCCCAAGATTCCCCGGGACTCTTTCCACTTGGGTTACATCATCTACTTCACCCTCGGCGCCGGCTACCTCCTTCCATGGAACGCATTCGTCACCGCCGTGGATTACTTCTCCTACTTCTACCCGGGCGAATCCGTGGACCGGGTTTTCGCCGTCGTCTACATGGTGGTGGGCCTGGTTTGCCTTCTTCTGATTATAGCATTGGCGCAGAAAACCAACTCCTTCGTCCGGATAAACGTGGGTCTGGCTCTGTTTGTGGCGGCGCTGGTGGCCGTTCCGTTGATGGACGTGTTCTATGTTAAGGGTGAGGTTGGGGTCCCCGGCGGGTACTATGTGTCGGTGGCTCTGGTGGGGATTTGTGGGATTGCCGATGGGTTGGTTCAGAGCGGTGTAATTGGAGCCGCCGGAGAGTTGCCTGACAGGTATATGCAGGCTGTGGTTGCTGGCACTGCCGCTTCTGGTATTCCCTTCTTCTTCTTCTTCAATTATTTTGGTCCCTTTTAATATCTCTGGTTTTGGAAATTTCTTATTGGACCATTGTCTTTTATCATTTATAATCTCTTGGTATTTTGAATCATTTATGTCTTAGTGTGTTGTAACTTCACATTTGCTTATTAAGGTTTGGGGTTTTTAAAATTGTTTCTCTGAAGTATAGTGTTTTTTATTTGCTTATTTTTGCATCCGAAGCTAGATTGAATATAGAGAAATAAAAAAAAAAGGTTTCCTTGTTTTTATATACTCCGTATATAGGTGGTATGCATAAATTTGTATTGGAAGCTTATGGTGCAGGTCCTTTTAACTCGGATATGTCGATGGATCTATCCTTCTAGCTTAAGATTTCTAACTTCTAGGTTTGATTTAAGCGTGCTTGTTTTCGGGATGCACATAAAGTGTACATCTACCCTTAAATACCCTTTGAGCCAAAGTTTTCAATGTATTGAAAGGCATTTGGAAAATTATTACCTACTCTCTATTGTACTGCGTATATCACAAGAATCACATTAGCATTGCTGCCAACTTGTTGCAACATGATCTCACTTTTGATTCTGCAACACATTAACATTTATCTGCACTGTCCGCAATGTGTTCTTGTCTGGTCAAACAGTTTTTTTCAGATGATTTAATGGTGAACTACATTGATTTGCCACAGAGCTCAATTTATAATGAAATGGTTTCCAGTATGAAAGTGTTCTGTTCAAAAGCCTTTTGGAACAGTCTCTCTACTCCATGGAGTAGAGGTAAGGTTTGTGTACCCCTTGCCCCAATACCCTACTCTTGAGTGGGACATATTTGTTCTTTATGAACTATCAAAACCTTAGGGGAGCATCATGTTTTTGTTCGTGCAGCCCATTTTGTTATTTACCTGTCTAAAAGAGTCATGTTCCTTCTCATTTATGATTTTCCCCTTCTTTTTTTCGGGATTAAAAATAATGTGATCATGCCATTTCTTGAAGGCATCCTTGTGTCTCTGCTGCGAATTCTGACTAAAGCGATGTATCCACAAGATGCTCAAGGGCTGAGAAAAAGCGCAAACCTTTATTTCATTGTCAGCATTGCAGTGATGGTATTGTGCATTCTTTTTTACAACATCGCACATAAACTTCCCGTAATTCAATACTACAATGAACTTAAAGCTCGGGCAGTGGACGAAGAGAGAGAAGAAAAGGGCAACTTGAGCACCAAGTTATGGATACAAACCTTGTGGAATGTCATTGGGACCATAAAGTGGTACGGCTTTAGCATCCTTGCTATTTACATTGTCACATTATGCATTTTCCCAGGATACATAACAGAGGACGTGCACTCTAAGATCCTCAATGACTGGTATCCTGTCATGTTAATCACATGCTACAACGTCTTTGATTTGGTTGGCAAGTCCCTAACTGCTGTCTATACAATTGGGGACACAAAGACTGCAATCGCCTCTTCTTTTGCTAGGCTGTTGTTTCTCCCTCTTTTCTACGGGTGCCTGCACGGGCCCCGGGTCTTTAGGACTGAGGTTCCGGTCACCGTACTGACCTGTCTTTTGGGACTCACAAACGGATACCTAACCAGTGTGTTGTTCATCCTGGCTCCCAAAACCGTCCTGCTCCAGCACGCGGAGACAGCGGGCTTAGTTCTTGTGTTGTTCTTGGTGGTTGGTCTGGCATCTGGTTCTGTGTTGTCTTGGTTTTGGGTCATATAGCAAATTGTCAAATTCCACAGCTTGTTCAATTGTATCATTGTTTCACTCTTAGCAATGCTTTTGTGTGATTGTGAATGTGTATCTTTATATCATGCCAAGATGCTTGATGGACTGTATTAGCACTAATGGTGCTGGTGATGTTTTGGCATCTCTCTGGAATAATGAGTGAGTGGTCTTTGGATTTGAGAAGTGAGTGTTGCAGTTTATACAGTACATAAATCTTGTTGGGATAAAAAAACCAAGGACCGTGCTAGGGTAACTCCACATGGGTGATTTCATGTTTTGCATGCGTCCACTGTGTGACACAGACGATTATCGTTTGGGTATGTCTGCGCAAAGCATGAGGTCACCCTAGTTTTTTTCTAAAAACCAAACACTTTTTGTCTAAATATTTTACTCTACAAATCACAACTCCCTCCCCAATCCTTCATCAATTGTATTTCAATTTTTTAATCATCTTACTCCAGTCAAGTACTATATTTTTTTCTGCAATTTATTTTTGTTATGGCTCCTTCAACTTCTTTGGGTAAAGCAGAACAATTCTTTTAATTTGGTGATGAAAGTGGCACAAATTCTTTAGGCGGTTACATGTTTATACTATTCAATTAAGTGTTTATATTCTTGAAAATTGGATTTATTGGACTGAGGTTTGTAAGTACATAGTGAAAAAAAGTACTCTACAAGAAAGAGTATATAAGTCAATTCCTTATCGTTTGGACAAAGTTTCCAAGGCAGTCCAACTTTTTTTTTTTCGCCACATTCGCTTGTTGATTTTTTGGTTTTGCGACTAATTTTTTTTCTTTTGAGTTAATTCACTTTTTTTACTGTGTAAGTTTAGGGAATATCCCAATCACAGCTCCGAAATTTATATCTATGAATTGTAAGAGCCAAGTTATAAAGTTTGTAATCACTTGTTATAACCGGTAGGATTTAAACTGGTTTATTTAAAATACTTTTTGTTGATCTGACCTTTAATATCTATGTGACCCGGTTTTTATACTACTTACGCTCTAGAGTGTTTTTATTTTTACAATCAAAATTGATAAAGTTTGGTCATTAACTAAATAAAGTTTATATTACAAGAATAACTTATGAGTAATTATCTTTTTGCTTGAACGTGATGGTAAGAAGTATAAAAACATTGGAAGAAAATAACAGCATGTACTTTATTGTTTGAAAAAAGAGTTAGATGTTAAAATAAACTAAAAAAACTAGAAGTAATTAGAAGGAAGTGAGAAAAAAATGGAACACACGAAGACTGGAGAAATTAGAAACAACTGAAAAAACTAGAAGGAAATCGAAAAAACTAAAAGAACAAGGAAGAAACTGAAATTACCGAAAAGAGTTGTATTGGAAAAAGTTGAAAAGAATTGAAAAATTTTGTGGAAAAAGAAAAATGTTGGAATAAACATTATATTTTTGAAATAATAGAATGAAAAATAAAATCATAATAAATGTTAAATCTTTACTTTTGTGGAGATCCCTACATACTTTTGGACCATTTTTTCTTTTTCATATTTTGTAGGTAGTAATATATTTACTATTTTATAATTTAAAATATTTATGCTTTCCCCAAGCCATTTTAGATTAATAAAAAAAGCAATTTTATCCATAGTTTTTGGAACATAAATTAGTGTCGTGTAAATTAATATATAAAATGTATTATTTATATTTAAAAGGACTCGAAAATAATAATGAGTGTGAATTGAAAAATCAGTGATATGAAAAAAATAGACAAATTGAAATAAATTATAAAAAAATTGTAATAATAATAATAATAATAATAATAACAATAATAATAGTAATAGAAGAAGTTGGAAGAAACTAGAAAAAAATAAGAAAAACTCAAATGAACTGGAAAACTTTAAACAACTAGAAAAAACTAGGAGGAATCTGAAAAACTTAAAGTTTAGAGTTTAAGCTTAAAAGAACAGGCTGAAAAAAGAGTTGGAGCTCAAAAAAATGAAAGAATTAGATGCAATATTTGGTTGAAGGATAATATTTTTCTGGAAAACCATTCTTTAGGAGAAAATGATTTCCACAAAAAATTATTACCCCCTAATTTGTTTTCTAAACAACCACTTATTAAAAAATGATTTTCTAAGAAATGGTTATTTTTCATTATTTGTTAAGAATTTTTTATATGAATACATTGGTGATATTTGAATAAAAACTAAAGATGTTTTGAGATAACTTAAAAATTATTTTAGGTATCATATGCGATCTATACCAAATTTACATTACAGAATTTAATTCTATAGGGTTTGGAAAGGAAGGGGATGAAGATTTTTACTTTGTAAAATCAGGGGACTTGAGGAGTCAGTATAAATAGAAATTTCCCTTATGCTCCGTTTGGTATACGGAATTCAAATTATGAAATTGGGAATAATAATTCCAATTCTACTGTTTGGTAACACAAAAATATGTAGATTTGGAATTGGTGGCGCCAAAAAGGAATTGGAATTGGAGAATTCGATTCCACCCAAATCAATTCCATAAAATTTTAACTCTCAATTCAATTCCAATTCCGTCAATTCCGTGTACCAAACGGACCCTTCGCCTAAAACTATAATTTATCAAAAATATTCTCTATAACTTTTTAAACCAAACATAAAAAATTTGAATGGAGACTTTTTGAATTTTTTTCCCCAACCAAATGAGTCCCAAAAGTTAAAAGTTAAGGGAATAAAACCTTGAAAAATCAGAAATAATTTACAAAATCAATAAATTTTGTTTAATCCAGATTAAAATGTCCAGAGTAATTAGTACAATAAAAATGGAAAAAATTACCTAAAAATCATTTGAGGGATGCTAGGGGTACACCAAAAGTGTATCCCAAATGTACACCACTCACTTTTCTATCACACATTTTTATTTATTTATTTTTTGTTTAATTTATTTGCCAATATATGTGGCATTGGAGGAGGTGGTGTAATTTATTTGCCAATATATGTAACATTGGAGGCGGTGGTGTAATTTATTTGCCAATATATGTGACATTGGAGAAGGTGAGGTATATTTAAGATACATAGTGTCTCCTTTAAAATCATTTTCCAAACACACCCAAAACCTATAAAAATTGGCGTGGTGGTCCTCGGAGGGAGTGAAAACCACTTTATCCATCACTTCATCCACATGGTCCACATCAAACATAGACTTCACCGGACAAAGGCTATTTCCGTCAAATTTCTCTCATTCAAAGCCAAATCGAATCAGCCAAAGCCCCCCCCCCTCCTGCCCTCAACCTCGTTCTTCATCTTGTTCCACAACGCTTTTCGCACAATCTCTCTCTCTCTCTCTCTCTCTCTCTGAAGTTACGCTTCAAAAACCCTTTCCCTGCTTCAATTTCGCCGCAATTCTCTGAAAAATTCGATTCATAATTTGTTTGTTCATCTCCGTACATGTTCCATTTCCGCGTTTCTGATTAGAGGGAGAGTGCGGGAGCTCGAGTTTGACGATTTCTAGCGCTCCCGCATAATGCTTGTTGAATTGCAGAGAATTCGCCGGAATTGGTGGCCGGAGTTGGTCTCGGTTTAGCTGGGAAGTGGGAATGGAGTCTTCCAGGGCTAATAGAGCTTTTCCTTTTTACATAGATCTCAATGAGATCCCTCTGTCTTCGCCTAGGGGAGGAGATGAGGAAAACGCGGTGTTTTCAGTTGACCAGCCGTCGTCCGGAGCTGCTGCCCGAGTGCAGAGTGTGGACACTAGGCCTGCTGTGTCTAGGGGGTCTGAGGACGCCGGTCTGCTTTGCTCTTCGTGTGAGCTTCGGAGGAGAGGCGGGGAAAAGGAGTGGATGTGTTTGGGGTGTTTGATCCGGCAGCGTAGTGTAGGAGGAAATGCAGGTGGTTGTGGAAGTAGAGGCTTTGGAGAGGGCAGAGACATGGGGGTTTTAGGCCTGGATATTAATGCGCCCCCTCCAGGGGAGCTGGAGCTTGAAGGTTTTGTTGTTGACTTGAATGAAGATGCATCAGTGGGGCGGCGGCATGGCCAGCTTGACAGCGGCAAGTACGATTTTTTACTTGCTTCTTTATCCTCTTCTTTAATGGATATAATCTCTATTTGATTGTGCAATGCATGTCGTATATGAACTTCAAGTTACAATTTAGGGTTTGATTTGAGGCTGTAACATCTTGATGTATTGTACTGGGGCTTTATTATCATACCTTATGCATAAAGAACCGGGTGCATATACTCGAGTATATTTAAATAAATGTTTGAGACAGTCTCCTCAAGCTTATTGATGCGTTGTACTGGGGCTTTATTATGATGCCTCATCTCTCACATGATCACATCCAACTAATACTATTTTGCATGCATTATTGTTTCTCACAATGGGATAAGCAATTAGGTGATATGATTGAACTTTTAAGGCATTTGTGGCAGACTGCATATGGTTCTTTTACTTCTCTATAACTATAAGTTTTCAAGTATTTTGTTTAAGCTAGTTAAGTGGTGGTGCTTGTTTAGTCTCTCCACTGCTCTAGATTCAGATTTTCCTATTATTCACTTTCTTTATCCATATCATGATTTTAAAATTGGAAATTTGGGGTAGCATAAGCTTGGTGCTTCACTTTGTAGGGAGAAAATGATCATCTTATACTGTCTATGACAAATACGAATCTACATTTGTTATATTGGAGGATTCATGAATCTCTTTCTTGGTAAATTAATTTTTCTATTTCTCATTAATATTCATTTGAAAAGCACATACACTTCTAAAACTTTGAAGTATGCATGTCCGGTGCGCTGAGGACAACCTAACATGTGTCCCTTTATTGCTAAAATGGGGATACAATCGTACAATTTGAGGACATGCAGGACGGTTTGGAGACATGACAAAGAATGAGGTCTTTTTAAAATAAAGCTCAAGTTTTGGACGAAGGTGTTAAACACAAAACCCTAAATCCATCTCTCTTATTTAGCATCTTTGATCTTCTCTTCACAATCACAAAAAAAATTGCAAAACAACTTGGACTTTTTTAAAATTATAATTCTGTACTAACATTGTCCCATAATAGAGTCATGTTTGACTAAGGTACAACTTTTAATTTTTCATAAAGTGAAACGACCATAAATATGGATCTTACTTTTTTGGTTTAAGTAAATTTATTACAAAGTATAAATTTAACTCTTAATGACTCTTTTTGGCAAATTACAAAAAAATTAGCTTTGTTATTTGATCAATGTGGACACCTTTTTGGGTTTCGATGACTTTTTCTTGGGACAAAGAGAGTATAACACACAAGTTGCTTTAGAAAGTGCTGTTTCTTATACCTGTATCCGTGTTGCTTACTCAATTTACTATTGAGTTAGGGTCACATAAATAGGCCACTACACACTTGGGCCAAACCACTCTAATGCTTCAATTCAATTGATTAGCTAACAACAACAAACTAGTAGAATCCTAGAAAAAGTAGGGAGAGGCTGTTTCGCAAAGACCCAAGCTCGAGCACAGTCACCTTACATCAACAAAGAAGCCACAGAGCATGAACAAAGAAGAAGCAAAGAGCAGACTAAGGGTGTAGAAAAGCGCAATGAGACAAAAAACACACAAGCTGCCTCTAGCAACTCAATCGATCAGCTAATACTCCCTTTGTCCCAAAAACACTTCCCTGTCGCGGGTTACGATGCTTGACTGAAATCATTTTCAGTTCAATCATTAAGAAAATTGGCTTAATATTTTTTTCAAAAAGTACTCATATGTATTAAAATACTATATCAAGAGTTTTACAAAACAAGAGGTGACAAGACTATTGTTTTATCGAATTAGTAATGAAAATTGGAGAACAAAGTGCTCAAAGTTTGACCCTGTGAATAGTGAACAAGAAATCCTTTTTGGGACGGAGGGAGTATGACTCATTATCTTATTAATGCATCGTTCATACTTTAATATTTTAATGTGGGACAACAGTGCATCACGGGTCTAACAGAAACAACCTTTCTGTTTACAGAGGTAAAGTTGCATCGATGTTGACCTCACGGACCCCAACACAGCTGGGAGTATATTGGGTTTGTTGCTATTGGGTTCATCTGGTTAATTATTTTAAAAATATTTTATTGTATAGTGTCCATGCACTGTCAGGGCCTCTTCAGTAGAGTTCAATAATACTAAACTGAAGTGATTATAGTGCAATTTTGAACTTAGCCTTATTGAACTAAACTGGATGGTGCTGAACTGAATGATATTTAACTGAACTCAATGTTACTGATCTGAATGACATTGACTGAATGGTATTGGAATTAAGTTCACCTGAACGAGCCTTGAGCGCCATGAAATTTATTTTTTTTGTATCCTCATGTCGAGCCGTATCATGTCCCTATGAGCTTATATGTGTCGGTTCCTCTTAGCTAATTAAACAACAAACCCAATGTAATCCTACAAGTGGGGTTTGAGAGGGCAGGATACACAGACCTTACCTTTATGAGTCTACACATGAGGCTTGGAGAGGCTGTTTGCCTGTTTCCAATAGAACCTGCCATCTCAGCTAATTCATATGACAAAAATAACTTTGTACTTGGATTTGGATTTTGGAGATTAATATGCCATGAGCCATGGCATTTAATATGCTAGCTTTTCCAGTCACATACATGAAACCTAGGCCTATTATATTTCCCTACTACATCCCACTAAATCCCACAGGTGGGGTCTGGTAGAGGTAGATGTACGCAGACCTTACCCCTATCCAACATGGTAGAGTCATAGAGAGGCTGTTTCTACCAGACCTGCAAAATAGAAAATGAACTAAAAATCTTTTAGAGAAACCCCTATTATATTTCCCTATCGCCAAAAATACGTATTTGTTGATGATTTGCCACCCTTTAGATACTTAAAAATTGATGGGCTCTATCGTCTTTCTCATATTTTCTTCTAACAGTGATTTCACGTATCCAGTAATCTAGGTTTCGATTTCTTATCTGATGCAATGTATACATATTATGTGGGTAGTGTTCCGTGCTATCAGATGTGTTATTCTTTTTCCTTGAAGGGGTATTTCAACAACAACAACAACCCAATTAGATCCCTTGAAGGGGTATTTGAAAAGGATTTTTTTGTATGTCATTGCATGTCATTGGAACTTGCGGATTTCATAATTTAGGGTTAACTTGAGTTTGGTCGGTTTCATTACATGCAAGAAATTATTAACTTAAGCTTTGCTTGATCTCATTCCGGTGTAGTTGTCTAATGTTTATTGTTTAATGAAACTAATTTTCTCAGGTATCCACTTTCTGATAACTGCCTCCAATATTTTAAGTGTCATGTACTGCAGAGATATATAATTTCACTGCTTATCATGACATCACTTCTTTTTAGTGGCAAATACCTGCGTAACTATGATCACAGTTAATAAATTATAAAATTTATATGTTGTCCCAATACACGTTCTTTTAGAAAACATGGATCATTTAGTCAATTGACCACTATATTCACTTGTAAGAATGTCACATTACAATATTCAAGGCAAGTCCAATTTGAAAATCTAGGGAAACCCATCAGCAGCAATGACACACTTACCAAAGCAAGTCCAATCTTCCAAAGTGTACTTTTTTTGAAACAAAACTGTTCAATACAAAACCACCCAAAAAGAAGACCAATACTAACTAGCTACTTAATTACATTTTCCTTTTGAAAACAATATAGCTATGAAGAGTAAAGATTGTGTAGTCAATGGTGTTCTGCTCGGTGATGACCTTCTGATGATTAAGCCCATTTCGCGCTCTCCAAATCCGATAACAACTAATAGCCCAGCCTGCCAAGATCTCCTTGTGAATGGTACTACCAAACCTTGTATTGATCTCCTCTCCAAAATCCTTAATACTGTAAGGATCATACCGAAGATTATATGGCTGCAAAACTGAGTTTAGGACCCTCTTAGTGTACTCACAATCACAGAAAAGGTGTTCGCTATCCTCTAAAGCACTAGCACAGAGGCTACATTACCACAAACCATTTAGCTATTCTTGCCTTGGTGAGCAATCTATCTTGCATCAAAAGCCAAAACAAAAATTGTACTTTGGGAGGGGTGACCTTGTTCCACACCCAGTTAGCCCAAAAGACCTTCTGGGTATCACATTGAAGCCATTCATAGCCCTTCTTCACATCATATTCTCCACATAGCTGCATATCCCTAAATCTATCCCCTGAAGCCATTCATAGCCCTTCCAAAGTGTACTTTTACCACATAAACCGGTGTTTGCCTCTTTTCTTACCAGCCACCTCATGTACATTGACGGAGCCACTACTGCCATAACCGTGTCAAGTATGGGCTGCTAGTTATGACAATAATAAAGAGCATTCCAGGAACAGATGCTTTTTACTACTGCCATAACCAAGATGTAGTAATTTATTATTATTATTATTGTTGTTGTTGTTTATTGCTATTGTTATTGTTATTGTTATTGTTATTATTATTCTTGTTGTCATTGTTATTATTTTTGTTATTATTATCATTACTATTACTATAAAGTTCTTACATAAGTAGACTCCTATTTGTTCCCATTACAGTTTATGCTTAATAAAGTATTTGATTACTTCCTCTATTTTGGTATTTGGTGCTCTTTCGCCATTCTTTTGATGTGAGGGAGTTGTGAATTAAGAAATTGTAGATATGAGAAAGTGGGAAGGAAGAAGTTAGAGGCAAAGAAGAGACGAGGAAGCGAGATCTTTTTATTATTTTAATATTGTCCGGCCAATGCAAATTAGATATATTAATTTGAATTAGAAACCCCAACATCAAAAGCTCATATGATATGATGATAACCCACAAGGTTGTTTACTCAAAGATTAATATGAGGGTCGAGTCAACACTTATTATTTTGTTGGGTGATGTTTGGACACCCAGGTTTATACCAAGGTGTACACCAAACGGGCAAACATCATTTTTGCACTTCATAGACAACACTTGTCTGTGACTAGTGTCATAAACATGTTTGTCTGTGATGACTTGTGTGTGAAGTGAAAAAATGAAGCTTGGTGTACACCAGGCATTTTTTTATTTTGTTACTCCGTATGATTTTGCATGAATATGCTCTCTTTGCTATGACTTTGCTACGGAGAAGATATTACTGTCATCTTCTCTATCTAGCATTTCTTCCTTCATCCATGTAACCGTACATGAACAACAAACACACAATATGGAATAGCTCATAAAGTAATGTATCAAAATACTAATATGTGGTCTTAGACAACACATTCAATTTTGTTATGCTTTTTCATCAATTTGCTCTCCTTATGACCTTAGCCAAAGAATAATGATTAATAACATTTTCCCTAGTTCAAGTGTTTCCACCTTCCTTGGGGCAGGTGCATTCTTTTCAGGTTAAATTAAGACTCCGTGTCTTCATCAGAAATTGCACAGTATTGACCAGAATGAGTAGTAGCGTTGGATGATTAGTTTGTACATTTTGAATTGGCAGAATGATATTATATCTTTGTGTGGTCTTTGACTCTTTGTCTTGGGCCGCTTGGCTACCCTGTTGCTCAATTATCCTTCTTTTGGGTGATGTGTTTGCAGGATACAGACTGGATGTAATTCTTCCAGCCACGGCATTGCATTTATTTCCTCCACAACATATTCCAAGTTTCCCTTCAAGGAGAACAGATTTGATACTTCAAAAGCTTCTCATGTTACCAAAGCTTCTCATGCTACTAAAGCTATTGCTAGACCAAGAAATACTGCTAGTGAAGTATATCTGCAATGCCTTAGAGAATATATTGCAGAAAGAAATGGTACATTAGGAGTTGGATGGAATGTGGAGTTCAAGTTTGTCCATGATAGATGCAAGACACTTGCAGTATATCTTGGTCCTGATGGAAGTAGATTTGAGTCAGTGACTGATGTTGCTTGTCATTTGGGGTTGCCATCAGTTGTTCATTCCATAGATGAAGGCGATAGATTTGGTTTAGCTCACAAGCAATCAAATAACATGCTAAAAAGAAAAGATGCATCAGTTTATATACAAATTGGAAGCTATAATCAAAACTCTAATGTTCCCCGGAGCATCTTCCTTGAGAATGGTGCCACACAAAAATTTCAGGTTTCCTACCTGTACCTTGAGTTTGCTAGAAAGCTAATTTCATTCTACGTGCCTTCAAGTACTGGTGAACTAATAAAATCTTAGTGCAGGATGGTTTCCCAGTTCAATTTGAAGATTTCTTGCTTATTTCAACAGGACATTTGGATTCACGACCATCATACCATAGTAAAAATCAAATCTGGCCCGTGGGTTATAGATCTAGCTGGCATGATAAAATTTCTGGGTCAATATTTGTATGCGATGTTGCAGATGGTGGTGAGTCTGGCCCAAAATTCAGAGTTCAAAGGCATCCATGCAGCATGCAGTCTTTCATCACTAGTTCTACAGTCCTCTCAAGGCCACAATCTAGGTCCTCTAGCAAATATGACAAAATGGAGAAGGATGCGCCGCCAATTTTTGGTGTGGGTTATGAGGATAATGATTCTATCCAAATGATGTTGGAAGACTGCAGCATGCCTTCTCTGGATAACGATTATGATGCTTATACTGGGCAAAGAGAAGGAGAAGATTTGGCTGTGGGAAAACTTGATTTCTCATTGCCAGCAAGCATGAGAAACAAAACACTTGGTGTCATTGGTCAGGGAGATAACATGGGAGAATTTCATGTGGAAGGGGCTTCTTTGACCTCTGTATGGGAAATGATCTCCCAGAGGCTTGTTTATGCTAGCCATCAGGTGTATAAGCAACATGGGGTAGTGGAGTTTTGTTGTAGTCATGATCATTGTGAAGTGGATGATAAACAACTTGGTGACCTTAATTCATTATCCAAGTTTTCTTGCTTAACAGCACCTAGTAATTTTCGTCGCATAGTGCATAGTGATAGCGAGTTTAACAAAAATTCTGAATTACTACTTAAGTGGCTTGAACAGGATAGATTTGGGCTAGATGTAGACTTTGTGCAGGAAATTCTAGAACAGCTTCCTGGTATTTCAAACTGCTCAGGCTATAAGTTTTTGAATGAAAGGAAGCAGAAGTCAACCCTTCAAACTATTGGAAGTGGATTTCTTCAGTCTAGAAAGAAGGGTCCTATGCAAGATGATGAGGGATTAGATGAATATTTTAGACCATCTAAAAGACTCAGAAAATTAGAAGAGCGTGAAGTGAGAGCCCCATGTCTTTCAGGCAAGCCATTTACCTCAAAGCTTCCTTCACATTTGATAGGCGATGCTCTCCAGGTATGTGTAATACTTGGCTTAACCATTTACGGAAGTTGCTTATTCAACATGCTTACTAGTTTTTCTTTTCATTTGCTACTTAAACTTATTTTAGGTTTGGGATTTTTCATTGCGTTTTTCTGTGTCTTTGGGGCTGGAAGATCAATTTTCTTTCTTGGAACTCGAAGATGAACTTTTGAGTCCTTGGCTAGATGGACTGCATCCATATGCAAATGTGGAATCTGATGTCGTGGGTGCTGATCATTCTGCAGAGTATGGATGTGCAGTGAAGCCTTCTCTAGCCAATGCCACTTGTACTCAATACAGCAGATGTACTGGTCTAGTTTTGGCTAAAACTCACATCTCTCTGCTAAATGTTTTAGTTAAGGACCTTCTCATGAAGGTTGCAGTGTATGTAGACCCTACCTTTGATGTTGGCGAATCTAAACCCAGAAGAGGTAGAAAGAAAGATGCTGATAATTTAGCCACTCTTAAGAAAGCTAAACTTGATATGTTTCCTGTAAACGAAGTTACGTGGCCTGAAATTGCTCGAAGATACATTTTAGCTGTATTGTCCATGGAGGGTAACCTTGACTCCACGGAGACTGCTTGCCGTGAGAGTGGAAAGATTTTTCATTGTCTACGCGGCGATGGTGGGACACTTTGTGGGGCTCTCGTGGGAGCTGCTGCACTTGAAGCAGATGCTGTGGTAATGCTGACAGAGTTCTTTTTTCCTTCTCTTCTTTTAAATGATTTTTCCTATTTGTTTATTGCTGATATTCAAGTTAGAAGTTACAATGAATAGTAGGTTTCTAATTTAAATCTTTGGCATTGCTTAGAACAAAAATCTGTCGAAAACTCTCTAGGATAATTACAAGTTTTGAAAGTGATGAGAATATTATATTTACATTATGCATTTGAGATTTGATCAAGGGATTTTCATTATAGGGCCACTAAAGAGAGAAGGATTGTCTTTGTTGTTGATAGAATACTTATACTGCTGGTTAGTAGTCTGTTATGCATATAGCTAAAAGTTTTTTAAGGGAACGTTGACTATTGACTTGTATATTTGTGCCTGTAATGAATTAATGATTAACATGATAAACATATTAATACTGCTGGCACATCCATTTATGGATGCCCAAATGTGAAATATGGTTTATTTGCCGATGCGTTATTGATAATAGTGTTATTCTTAGCAAGTATTTATATATACTCCCTCCTTCCTGAAATAAACTACACACTTTTCCTTTTTCTGTTGTCCCAAAATAAACTTCACACTGCTAGATTTAATCGGGTTTGTTCACATATAACCAAATGGGTAATGAGTCAATGTTCGGTTCAGTTAGTTGGTTTTGCATTTGAAGACAAAAGATTGGTTCGAAAGCTTTTGGGTTTGTGCCTGAAAAGTTCATACAGATCGTTGTTGCAATCATAGTTGTGAAAAGCGCGCTTGAGGCGCGATGCGCACGAAGCGCCAGAGGCAGTGCATCAGCAACCTTGATGCGCGCGCAGTTCATGAGGCGCGCGCCTTACTGCGCCTCGTCGTATTATGCGCAGTGCCTTGATGCGCAAAAAGGCGCGCCTTGTGAACACCTGTTTACTTTTTTTATTATTTTATAAATTAGGTTTAGGGATTAGCGTTCTTTATTAGGACTAAACCCTCCCAACTTTTAAGACCCCCAAGGAGATTAAACGGCACCTGGGCAAAATAAACGATTGTTTTCTCTTCTTTTTTTTCTTCGAGTGCGACTCTTCCTCCTGTCTCGCAAGTCCTCCAACGGCACACCTTCCTGTCTCTTCCTCCCATCTCGCAAGTGGTAGAACTCAGAAGAAGTCAAGCAGGTGATATCGGCTCTCCTTCCCCTCTCTTCTTACTTTATTTTTTTCTGTCACTAGTTTTCTTCCTTCTACTGGGCAAGTTAATTTGTCAAACACTTTGTTGTCGTATGGAAGAATTTGCAGATTTAGAAGGGGAAGATGGCCCAAATTCTAATAATTCGCTGGTTTTCTTCCTTCTTAGCCTTTTGTCTATCATTTTGTTGCTCTTTGAATGCTTTTTGTCTGTGACTTTTGCTGCTCTTTGAACTTTATGGTTTTTAATTTTATCAATGCCTCTATGGTACAATGTGTGACTTTCAATCTTAATTGATTTCTAAACCTTTATTATGCTTTTAAAAATTTTGTATATACTATTCTTAATGTAGATATACTATATATTCAATATTCTATTGGTGCCTTAATCTGCGCATTGTGTTCGTGATGCGCGCGCATCAAGTGCGCATCGCGCATCGAGGCGCTAGAGGTACTTTGTGCATCGGTGCGCATCACGCCTTAAATAACTATGGTTGCAATTAAACAGTTTGCCGACATTAACACAGTGCCTTTTCAAGAAGCAATTTGAAGATTGACAGCATTCGAGGAACACGTCAAAAAGCCAACCGAGGAAGGAGATACACAAAGGTGATGGAAAAGAGAAGGTTAAGGAGCACAAATGTGAGCATTTTTGTTGCGGGAGCTCAAACAAAGAAGACTTTGGACGTGGCCGAGGTAGAGGTCAGGGGTCCGGGAAAGTTCAGGATGGTGGTCTGTTTCTGCGGGTTAAGAGTCACATTAAGTGCTTCAAATGCAATGAGCTAGGATATTTTCTGAACGAATGTCCAAAATGGGATAAAAAAGAACACATTGCAAATTTGATTGAAGATGATGATGACCCAACATTGCTGTGAAGATCAGTGTGAACAAACAATGATTAGGGGCGTGATTGTTAGATTTAATTGAGTTTGTTCACATATAACCAATTGGGTAATGAGTCAATGTTCGGGTCAGTTAGTATGGTATCGGTAAGTGTGTTTTACATATTTAATTAATTAAAAATAACAGTTGGGTAGTTTCTAAAAAGCAGTTATGGGTAGTTTCTAATGTTAATAGGTGTGTTGGTTTGTAATAGTTGTGTTGCTTAGTAAAACTCGTGTTGGTTTGTTCTCTATTTATATTTAGAGAACACAAAAATCCTGTACAGTTCACAACAATAAAATACTCTGTTTTGCTTTGACACTTCACCCATTTCCTTTTAAGGATTGGAGTAAGTGGCTCACAACCTTTCTCTCTTTTAAACAAATTCCGGTCACACACTTTTCTTAAACTTTTTAAGTCACACCTTTAAGTTTAATTTGGGACGGAGGAAGTATATTTTATCATCTGGAGTGTTAATTTAGTGTTTCTATCTTTTGGTCCCCAATTATGATTAATTGGCTTTAGTATTTTTAGTACAACACTGAATTAAAAAATAAATTACATGAATGCACAAAGTTTATATTTAGGGTTATGCATTGTATCCTTTTTTTTTTTTAAATCACAAGGAGTTGATTCATTTCTTTTCTTTTTTATTGTTGACTTTGTTTTTTTTATGGCTATTGCTCAGCTTTTGTTTAGACTTTCTGCTCAGCATGTGCACTTACTGCTAAGTGTTTGCAAATGATTTTTTTGGGACAGTGATTGTCATGTGGAACTCCATGTTATAAATCATTTGTTTAAGAGTTTAATGTTTGTGACTCTCAGCTTCTTGCAGAGGCTAGAAGAAAAGTCTATGGTTCAGTGAGGATTGGAAGTGATATAGTCAGAATAGATGAGAAAGACACTGATGCTGAATGGACAAATGATGGTGAAGTTCCTGAATGGGTACGCTTGTTAGAGCCTGTAAGAAAGCTACCTACAAATGTTGGGGCTAGAATCAAGAAGTGTGTCAATGAGGCTCTCGATAGAAATCCCCCTGAATGGGCAAGAAAAGTTTTGGAGCATTCAATCAGCAAGGAGGTTTACAAGGGAAATGCGTCAGGCCCTACAAAGGTAATTTTCTCTTTATTTTTGTTATGTTTTAGGATTTTACCTTTGTGTATCAGAAATAATTAGCCTAAGGGACAATCCTTATGCTCAATGTATATAGATAGCATGCAAATTTACAATTGTCAACAACCGAATCCTTCCATTTGAGGGACTTTGTAGGTATACACCACCCCATGAAAGCAAACTTATTCTAGCTTTACTTAACTTGTTTAAATACATAACAGCGATCTTCTTTACATATAGCATATCGACACTCTCCCTCAAGCTGGTGCATGCGTGTCCTAAGCACCGAATTTGTTACATACTTCCTCTGCTCTATAACGGTTGCAACAGTCAAAATTTGACATTGTTCACACTTTCTCTTGACCATATTTGTGATTTCTATGTAAGGAAAAGTAGAGTTATGTGGGATCTTGTAAGATTCATCTTGTTTTTTTTTTTTCATTTTTACTAAAACATAATTGAAGCATTGGGAAATTTGAAAATGCAAGTGTGGTAACTATTAAACTATTAAAGACAACAGAACTATACAGATGTGTTGGGGCATACTCAAAGAGTTGGTGAAGATCTAAAGATATATATGTGAGTTGATCATTGGATTTGACAAATGGCATGTTGATTTCCTTGGGTAGAATGTTTTCGTGAATTAAATGCCAACCGACCTTGATATACATACTTAGTCATTCCATTAAAAGAAAAATTTGATACAATGTGTAGAGTTGCATGATTGTGACTAAATAACTTCATAGAGCTTATCCTGCACTATCTTTTTCTATTTTCTTGGAGTAAGTATTTTAATTGGATAAGCTCACATGTAGTGAGGGCCATGGCTTTTTATTTTGTTTCAACACTTGGTTCTGGAACTATGTCTTGATGCTAACTTTTCTAGGAGATTACCTCCTACGAAAACAGTATGCAGAAAGTGATCTCCTGTCACTTGGAAACCATGCCCATTATGCATTACAGTAAGCAATTATTTCGATATGCAATAGTCCTTTTCTTGGAGACCCCTTTATATATTTAGACTGCGGATGATTACAATCTGATGACTCGCCAGCTGAGTTAAGAAACTGACTTGCAACACTGACTGTAAAAGCTATTTCTATATCTTGTCTAGAAATGATGATATAATGCAGCCTGTCTACTAATCTCCAATACCTTTCAGGATCAGGAAATGGCCCCCCATATGTTTGGTATGAGTTTAACATGGAACCATAGGAGTATCAACAATCTGCATGAAAGAGCATTTGTTATAATCAAGCAACTCTACATATTGCCTCTCAATCAATTTTTTTAATGAAAAAACTAAATATATTGAGGTTGCTTGTCATTTTAATTGGGACAAAGATCTGCCATTTGTCAAATCTGAAGATCAACTCACGAATATGTTCCCCAAATTTTTGTGAAGGCCCTAAACAAATCCAATGGTCAGCTCACAAAAAATGCACTGCATACATTGGATGCTCTCCTGGGTGTCTATTCATCATTATTCTTTATACTCCCTCCGTCCACAAATTTTCTTCTCATTCATTATCCATATGGTCAAACTTTATTACTCTTTTTTCCTATTTTTGTTACTCAATAGTCATGTTACCTCTTGTTTTGAAGAACTTTTAATATGGTTTTTAAATATGTACTCTCTCCGTGTTTAAATAAACTTCCTTGGTTGACTTTCACATAGTTTGAGAGAAGTGTTGAAAAGTGAAAAATGATTATGAGTGGAGATACATTTTTTTGGCCACAAAATTCCTCTGAAAAGGAAGATTGTTTTGGGACGTCCAGAAAAGTAAAGGAGGTAGATTATTTAAAGACGGAGGGAGTAATTTTTATTTTTTAAAATTCACCAATTTTCAAAGATATTGAATGGAAAATAACTTCAACCAAACATTGTAAGCCGCAATAAGAAGAAAATTTGTGGACGGTGGAATTACATTATTTTGTTAGAAAATATTTTTAATATTTATGATATATGTTTTGAGTGTTGGTTAGGCCTCAAGCCCCAGGTATCCGTTTGGGCTTGGACTACAATTACTAGGCGCCTAGGCCCAGAGTGCAAGCTGAGCCAGGATTGTCCTTAGAAAATTCTTAGATTTAGCGTCTTGGCCTGGCTCGCACTTTGATCAGATCTAGTAACAAGCTTGGTGCTTATGACATGTATGCACCAGCTTGTGAGAGAGTGTTGTTATATACTTATATTATGTGTGAACTGTGAAGTATTTTTCTTTTATCTATTTTTCAGTAAAGCTAGTTAATAAAACATAGTAAAGATGCCATAGGAGGGATTGGTAGTTTTCTTTTATGCTAAGTCCCTCCTATGGACGGATTGGTTATTGATAATTGTATATGTTGATCCTAAGGAGTTTAACTTGAATATCATAAAGAATCAGCCTAAGGGACACTCGGAATCAGTATATAAACAGGAAGAAAAATAGCAGATTTAAGAATGCCAATAGCAAATCTCTCCATCTGAGAGAATTAGTATACAGAGAGTTAAAAAGAAACTTAAGAAAGTAAACCTTTCCTAGCTTTACTTAATACAATGCATAAAAGAGAGCTGCTTTACATATATCAACATCTATGCTGATGTTCTATAATGAAAAAACAATAAACTTTTGTTTTTAACATCCTGAAAATATGGTATTATAGCACATCCATTATCAAATTTGTTGAATCCCTTGAATGCAGAGAGCAGTTGTTTCCGTTCTAGAAGACTTAAACAGTGAACACATGCTATCCAAACCTGAGAAGAAGGAAAAAAGGAAGAATGTGATATCTCTATCTGACCTCATAATGAAGCAATGTCAGATTGTATTACGTCAAGCTGTTGCTACAGATGAAGATAGAGTTTTCTGTAATCTATTGGGGCGAACGGCTCTAACACCCAATGATAATGACGATGAGGGACGTCTTGGATATCCTGCCATGGTCTCTCGCCCTTTAGACTTTAGGACAATTGATCTAAGATTGGCTGCAGGGTTTTATGGTGGGTCATATGAAGCTTTTGTTGATGATGTTCGCGAGGTAAATCTTTTCCAATTAGAGCATATTATGTCAAATATTTGAATTTAGGTTTTCAGTAGATGGTGGTGAATTTTCAGATCTTAAGATTATTCTTTAGATAATTTTCTTTCTTAAATATTAGTCGTGAATTGTGATGATGACCATATAATATTTATCTTTTGAAGTTTTTCTTTATCTTCTAATATATGCTGTTGATATGTTTGGTGCATCCAGATGAAATGTCCTAAAAAGTTACAATGTTACATTGTATTGGGGGTGACCCAATACTCTCTTTTAGCACACAAGTTGGTTCTGTATTGTTGTTTGGTTAAACATTTTTTTTGCCCATATCTTCTAATGCCCATAATATGATCCAGAACCCATATATTGTAAAATGAATGCCACAGTGTATGTGTGTGTGGTACAATGAGTTCACTTTGCTGTATTATCTTGATTGCTTACTGATATTTCTCCTAAATTCCTTCTTAGGTTTGGAACAACATATACACTGCATATGGCGATCAGCCTGACCTGATTGAATTAGCAGGAACCATATCTCAGAAATTTGAGGAACTGTATGTAAAAGAGGTTAGAATTAATAAGCTTATGCTTTTTTGTTAGTCCCTATATATATGTAGAGACCATATTTTGTTTGCCTCTGTTATTGCACAGTCACTGGTGTAGCGTAAATTCGTTATCTATATTTTTCTAACATGAATTCATAATGCATAAGGTTGTTGGTGTAAGCCAATGATTACAGCCAAGTTACTAATACTGGTACATAATAACTGTCACCAAGTACTCATATGATAGGTGCTATGTTCGGACTTCTGTTCTATGGATGAGTTATTGACCTATTGGTCTCAGTACAAGCTAGGATGTCACAATATTTAATAGATATCAATACTCTTTCATTTAGAGTCCTGCGCCTTAAAGAAGGTAGTTTCAGTTACTTGTAGTATTTGTAAACTTTGCATAACTGTAGTAGTCGTAGTGCATAATATATCCGGAATATAAGCTTACATAAACGTCAAGGGCAAAGCTGTTTTTTATCTGCATCTTTTTTTTTGGTTTGACTGCTTCTTCTTTAGGTTCTTTCCATTGCCCAGAAAGCTGTAGAGTGCAAGGACGAGAATTGCTTAAAAAGTGAAGCTGAAAAAGAAAGTGATGATTTGGTTGTCCGTGTTACTGAAAGCTCAATTCCTAAAGCCCCTTGGGATGAAGGGATTTGCAAAATTTGTGGCATGGATAAAGATGATGACAATGTTCTGCTGTGTGATAGTTGTGATTCAGAGTACCACACATACTGTTTGAATCCTCCACTTGTCAGAATTCCTGAAGGAAATTGGTATTGCCCATCTTGTGTTGCTAAAAAATCTTCTTCCCGAGGTTTCACCTATAATGCTCTATATGTTGGTCAATGTCATAAAAGGAGACATAAAAAAGAATTTACTCATAAGTTTCTTGAGGCACTCAGCGAATTAGCGAAGGCCATGGAGTTGAAGGAGTATTGGGAACTTACTCTACAGGAGGTGAGTCATTTCACGTGCTCTACTGTATATTCTACTGTGTGTTCTACTGCAGCTACTTGATCAGTTGATAATCAAAGAATCAACCTGTATGAATTTAGAGTACTAAATAGAACACAATTTGATGAGAACTAGCTTTTATTATATTAGGAAAATATAACTCAAAACCTAATACAATAACTCTCATATAAATCTCATATGGCTCTCATATCAATACCCAAGGTTTGACTATGATATATATAGTGTTAACCCAACTTGGTCAACAAGTAAGCTAATTAATCCTAGGACCCATAATTCTATTTCTACTCGACCTAGAATATCTCGGGTAATCCTAATCCTACTCGATAATTAGCCAACATTCACCCCCCTAATTTTCGAGTTGGATTTCGGGTGATCTTTAACTCCAAGCATGTCGTCTTTACCTTGATTTTCCCAAGGCTCTTCATGATCCCTTGCAATGTTCTTTGGGCTCCACTTAGCTTGAACAAACACTTCTTGCGATCATTACACATCCTTTTGTGGGCTAGAATCCTTTTCTTGACATCTCCTTTAAACTCTTGAACATTCTTCTTTGGACTTTTAATTTTGGGTTTCTCCATTAAACTTGGACCTTTGAGAAGATTCTAACTCGTACTTCGCGTATCTTCTTTTAGTTGATCAACTCTTTGTAGATCCCTACCCGCAAGATTCTTCATTCCAATCATGCTAACTTTTGTACTGAGACTTGCTATCTTGAGATTGATCTTGTACAAACAATTCTTGGTCCTTGTCACCTTCATCATAAGCTTCCCCGTGTCATCATGAATGGTTAGCAAATCGCACTTCATGTGAATGTTGCATCCACCTTCCGTTGCTTGACCAAGACTTATGATGTTGCTTTGTAGGCTGGGTATGTAGTACACATCGGTTAACAGGTGCTTCTCCCCCGTTTTCCCTTCAAGTAATACAGATCCATTTCCTCGTTTGTCAATACAAGATCCATCTCCAAACTTCACCTTTCCCGTGACACGTTCATTAAGTTCAAAGAAGTAAGCTTGATTACCCGTCACGTGATTTGATGCTTCGTTGTTGAGATACCAAGTGTCTTTCTCCTTTGGTTCAACCTCGAAACGCTTCGGAATCATCCTTTCTTCATTTTGAAAGGCATTCTCTTGATCACATCTCATCATGAACAAAGATGTATCCAAAACAATTTCATCTAAATTAGCTTCTTCCTGTTTCTTCATACGCTCCGGGCACATTGATGCAAAGTGGCCAAATTTATCACATCGATAACACTGAATCTCTGATCTATCCTTTCTACCCTTTTGATGATCATTGGTTCTTCTTTGACCCGTTCGCTTTGACCCATGATCTTGACCATCTCGGCATTGACTTCCATGTTGGTCATCATCATCCTGGCCTGGGTCTCTTCCTCGACCTTGGTTGCATCGGCTTCGTCCTCTCGATTTGTTTTCTCCCCTTCGAGAATGAGAGCTTTCACCATTGGAGAACAATAGTTTACTTTGTGTCTCTATATCCTCTTTCTTGATTCGCTCTTTGTAGGCTTTCAATTGGCCTATGGTTTCTTGAAACCCTAGTTTGTTCAAATCCAGGACTTGCTCCAACGAGGCGAGTATATGGATGTATTTCAAACGAGGAAGAGCCTTTAGAAACTTCTTTACCATCCTTTTCTCTTTTATCTCTTCTCCAAGGGCTACGGATTTTGAAGCTAAACTTGATAACTTCTCAGCAAAGTCATCAATTTTCTCTGAATCATGCATCTTCAGATTATCAAATTCTGCATTTAGGGTTTGGAGACGAGCTTCTCTAACCCTATCAGTCCCTAAGTGACAAGTTTTGATTGCATCCCACAGATCCTTCGCAGTCTCCTGATTACCTACTTGCAATATCAGATTTTTTGAATTGATTGAAGCGACATTGCCGTTGCCATATCATTCTTCTCGACATCACCTGTGCCTGGTTCAATCGTTTCCCACACCTTATGAACCCTTAAAACAACTTTCGTTCTCATGGCCCATACGGTGTAGTTTGTAGCATTTAGCATGGGATGGAGGCGGCGATCTGGAAGTTGACGCAGCCTTCGCTCCTGCAGTTCTCCTCTGCTGCAATTCTGATCGGGACGGGAATAGACAACAACTCAAAACAGATCTACACCCTTCTTCGTACCCTAAGACAAAACAATCGCTCCATTTTTCTTTCTCAGCGCTCCAATCGAAAAACAGTGGCTTTTAGGAAATAATAACTCCAATCGAATTGTATTAGGAAAATATAACTCAAAACCTAATATAACTCAAAATATATTAAAACCCAAGGCTTGGCTATGATATATATAGTGTAAATCCAACTTGGTCAACAAGTAAGTTAATTAATCCTAGGACCCATAATTCTATTCCTACTGGAACTAGAATATCTCGGGTAATCCTAATCCTACTCGATAAGTAGCCAACAACCTGTCCACATTGAATATAGATCATTACAGATCTTTGGAATTCTCCTGCATTATGGCAGAGTGATAAACTCTTAGAATTTTCCTTCATTTTCACAGAATATGCATAAATGACTTTAAGAAGAGGATAAGTATAAGCAATTTATGATATTGGTGGTACACATTTTCATAGAATATGCATAAATGACTTTAAGAAGTGGATAAGTATAAGCAATATACTTTGATGTGATCATTTTCATAATTAGAACTCCCTCGGTCCCATAAAAGTGTTTCACATTTCCATTTCGTCTGTCCCAAAAAAAGGATGCACTCTCTATTTATGAAAATAATTGTAGCTCATATTTTTTCCGTCTCTTGTGCACCACTTCCAACCATACAATTCCACCTTTTCTTAATAAGTGTGCCGAATCCATTGTGGAACCTATATGTGGGAGTGGGACGGAGGGAGTAGTCTATTTGTCTAGAGTAGGTAATGGGACATTATTACCTCAGTAGATTGCCACTATTCTTTTAAATTTTATGTAATATGTCACCAGAATTTTGCCACTTATCCGTAAATTGTGAGATATGCATATAAACTGTTTCCTCTTTTGGTGCAGCGGATTTTCTTAATGAAATTTTTGTGTGATGAGGCACTGAATTCAGCCATTTTCCGTGAACACCTTGATCAAAGTGCCTCTGTATCTGCAGAACTGCAGCAGAAGTTACGGTCACTGAATTCTGAACTGAAGCTTTTGAAAGTAAGGGAAGAACTTTTGGTGGCAAACTTGGCTAAAGTGAAAAATATTGTTGGGCATGGTGGAGACTTTGGTTCTAATGCATTCACTTCCGGTGTTTGTGATGGTAAATTAAATGGGCAGGTGATTGAACGTGGTGCTAGGAGTACTACAATGTCTGGTTATTTTAGACAGCTGGATGATGGTTCACAAAGGAATGTGTTGGTGGAAAACAGTTACAGTTCAACAGACCATTTAGAGGCAACTTGTGCATTCTCTGTTAATGATCTAAAGTCTACCGATGCTGAAAATAATTTACAATATCAGCAAGCTGTCAAAGATAAGTGTCAATTGGATGATTCTTTTCATATGCAATGTAACAAACACTTAGCCAGTTCACAAGATGGGCTGGTGCATGACAATTTGTGTAGTAATCTTGATTTTCAGGAGTCACCAGAGGGCAGTTCCAATTCCTTGCCATCTACTGTCCAGGTCCTGCCTGAGCATAATTCCACTAATTCCTACAATTGTGTGAATCAGTCTTCTAATGCTGGTGATGTGAATTTTTCTCAAGCCTTAAACAATCAACTTGCATCTCTGAAAGGTGAGATTCATTCATTGCAGGAATCAATTGCCTTGAAAGAAGCCGAGCTTCAAAATGTGTCTGTTAGAAAGGAATTTTTGGGACGGGATTCTGAGGGCACACCTTACTGGATTCTTAGTTCAGGTGATTCTTACCTGCAGATAGTAGCTAATTCAGGTGTGAGTTCAAGGCAGAGGATATCTCATAATTTTTGTCATTCAAGTTTGGAAAATTCAAGGCAGACAGGTAGTTATGGACTGGCATCTGGAGACAATTTTGGGATCCCAAATCTTTGTCAATGGACAATTTACCAATCTGACCAGGACATTAAAGAACTTATGGAATGGCTCAGAGATAATGATGCAAGAGAGAAAGAGTTAAAGGAGTCCATTTTCCAGCGCGTGGCCTGTAAATCCAAGCACTCCAACTTGATGGATGGGCTGGTCCAGAAGAAAAAAGAACTAAGCACTTCAGACTCCTCTAAAGGCAGAAGATATTCTGAAACTGATTATCATATTACCAAAGCTATGACGGTTTTATCCAAGAAATATGGATCTTGCAAAGAAATGGATGGAACGGAAGTCTTGAAGAACCCTGGTTTTCTAGTGAAAGACCTCTGTAAGGGTGGAATATATAGGTGTCTATGCCTAGAACCATTATGGGTTTCTAGGCCTCATTGCTACTCATGTCATCTTACATTCTCCTCTGCTGAGGAGCTGGCACAGCATGCCAGTGACAAGTGCATGCCCAACTCACAAGTGTATGAGAGTAGCCAGGTAATAGAACATCCTTCCAAGCGCAAAAAAATGACAAAAAGTGAACCCTGTCAAAACAAGTCCTCTGACGGTAATGATATCAATCAAGCATCCATGAGCAGGAGGCTAGCTAATATTGAAGAACCTGGAATGAAGAAACACAGTAGCGAACCTGCTCCCATTGAACATCTTGACCAACCAGAATGTGCATTAAATTTTGAAGAAATCAAAGGGAAATTCATTGTTCAAAATTCTCTCAAGGAGGAGGTGAAGAAAATAGGTCTGATTGGCACGAATGGTGTTCCAACCTTTATTCAGTATAGGTCTCCCTATCTGGATTATCCTGACATAGGATTGATATCTATGACAGAAGATGAGGTTGCCACAAAAGCTACTAATAAGGAGCAATCAAATGCTGGGCCATGTATTCCTCCCAAGACCCACGTCATAGATAATCTACCAGGCCATGCTGAAAATGGCTTATTTGATGATGAGCTGGAACTTGGGAATGCAAGATCAACACTGGCGAGTGAAAGACAATGTTATTCTGCCAATGTTGAAAACCAAGTACCAGGAATAAATAAGAGCTTAACTGTTCGTGAGTCCTCTGTAAGACTATTGGTAGGCAGGGATCTTGAGATTCTGAGGCATCTAAAGATCAACTTGATTGACATGGATGCTTGTCTACCTCAAGAAGCTCTGAGAGCATCAAGATCAGACTCAGACAGAAGATGTATTTGGCGCACATTTGTAAAATCTGCGGCGACAGTTTATGAGGTTAGTTTCCCTTTCCTATTTGATTAACTCTTTAAAGCATAAACTACAAGTCTTTCAACTGAAGTGAGCTCAGCGTTGAATGGAAAGTAAACACATAATAGTTACCCTTGTGAACTTTTATAGTTTTGATAATCCCTCAACCATTGGTCCTTAGTTGGTCTGGCACACTGGCTCTTTCTGGTGTCTTTTGTTATACAAAGATTTCACTTGAGATATGTCAACTGTTAGTTCTAAATACTCTTAAATTTTATTGGATGACTTTGTCTCATTTGCTAACAAAACAAACTATGTCACAAATGACAAATTTAAATTTATTTGGAAAAAGTGTTGTATTCTCACACTTCCATAAGCTCTATATAAATGCCTGAGTCTTCAAGATTCATTTTACACAATCCACTGACGCTATTCTTTTAACAATTGCAAGTGTTATAGGTTGACAAAATCATCCCCTTAAATTTCTTTATTTTCATTTTTTCTGTGGTGAAGCAAGATTTGTTCAAAATATCTTCAAGCTTTCTATTTACTCCGTAATATTTATAGTCGAACTGGAAATCTGAAAATGCAAACAACTTTTTTTGTTTGTTGATGTATAAAATGGAAAATATTTAGGAGCACCACGGTTCTCCTTGCTCACTAATTATTAGCATGTCACGCTTCCACAAGCTATATATAAATGCCAAGTCTTCAAGATTCATTTACACAATCCACTGACTCTATACTCTAACAATTTTAAGTGTTATAGGTTGGCAAAATCTTTCCCTTATTTTTTTACATTTTTCCCATGGTGAAACCAGATTTGTACAAATATCTTCAAGCTTTATATTTAATATTTATATTTGAACTGGAATTCTGAAAATGCAAACAGCTTTTGTTGTTTGTTGACGTATAAAATGGAAAATATCTAGGAGCACCCCGGTGCTCCAACATGTTATGCTTGTATTCCTCTTAGCCTACACTGACTAACTAGAATGTTATGTTCACTACATGGACATAGATGGGGCTTGCACCAGGTTGTTCTTAATAATTTCTCTATAAAACACTACGTTTCGGCTCCCTCTTATTTTTTCTTTCCATGGTTATAGTATGATAAGCTATACGTACCCTTTTGGGTGTTTTTTGATACATTATTAAGCATTTAAGATATGAGTTGCTTCATTTCTTCAGATGGTTCAAGCAACGATCATACTAGAGGACACAATAAAGGCCGAGTACTTGAGGAATGATTGGTGGTACTGGTCATCGCCTTCAGCTGCTTGCAAGATATCTACCATGTCTGCCCTTGCTCTCCGCTTATATGCCCTTGATTCAGCCATCTTGTATGAGAAACACCTAGCCGATGAAGAGGGCATAAAGCCAGAATGTAGATCAGCGAAAGCAGCATCTCGGAGTTCCAAATCAAGTAGTCCAATTCAAAAGCTGCTTGATTCAGATCCCGCTGAGAATCCAAAACCAAAAACCAGATCCAGCAAGAGAAGAAAAGACTCTGGTGGTTGAAAAGATACGCCCCTTTTCTGAACCAAAGTGGATTGATCTTGTGCCTGCCCTGATGACATGGACGTGCCACTTTGATTTTAATGTTGGCCACCCTGATTCAAGGAGTTGACGCCTCTGGCACATTCCAGTATTTTCATATACATGGATCTGCTTTTTGCCACCAGTTTTCCTTCCATATACAAATTTAAGGCTTTTGCATGCATGTTACTTGAGAGTGGTACCCTGCATTTTCCTCGCCGTCATTTTTAAGCGGTGTGAAAAGGTTCTATACAAAATGGTGGCCTAAGGATATCCAGAAACCTGTCATTGGGTGGAGTAGCAGAAGGTCCGGTGCTCATAATTTCAAATGGACGATATTTGTGCCCTTGATAAAAATATAAAAAGGTCAGTGACTAAATAGGTAAAACCATATCTATATGTACAAGCAAAGGTTTAGCAGTTGTATGTTTGTAGGATTGTAGCCAATTATATGTATAGAAATTACAGATAATGTCTCAAGCTATGCCTCCTCCCCCTGCTGAACAATGTAAAATTAGGTTGTGCCATTGTATGTTCTCTAAACAAGCCTGTAATCAAGAACTGCCTTTCTTCAAAAGGGTTTTCTGTTTGGTTCTTTTATGGTGTGCTTCCATTTTCGATTTGACTCATTTTGGATCAACTTTTAGAAACCCGATAGTCTGGTCGGGCCTCAGAAACCAGGAACATGTTCGGTTTGGAAGTAGGGAAACAGATTTGTTTTGTTACTGGGAATCAAACTTGAAAAATCTTGGCTGGACCAATATCACATTAGAGTGCTGACAGACAAATAAGGCAAAACTGTTATTGGGTTCATTGGTCATATTTGATTATTACTCTATTATCATTAGGATTGTGTAGTCCTTGTAGAGAGTAGTGAGTTCAGTGAGTGAGTGCTTTTGTTAGTTGGGTCTTCTTAGCTCCATGGATTTTACTAAGTTGTTACTTTTTGGATTATAGTTTTTCGATGTCTGTATGGTGTTTTATGAAGTAAATTCTATATGATCTGTAATGAATGAATTGAGTTTTTTTTTTGCTCAAAGCACAAGTTGTATTAACAACTTCTGTGAAACACCACAAAAGGGGTTTTTTTTTTTGCTCAAAGCACAAGTTGTATTAACAACTTCTGTGAAACACCACAAAAGGGGTTTTTTTTTTTGCTCAAAGCACAAGTTGTATTAACAACTTCTGTGAAACACCACAAAAGGGGTTTTTTTTTTTGCTCAAAGCACAAGTTGTATTAACAACTTCTGTGAAACACCACAAAAGGGAAACATCCAACGCTTACTCTCTTGGCGTAGTTCGTGTGGTTGAGAGGTGAGTGCCGAAGGAGGTAAATTTGGCTTCGATTCCACACAATGACGATAGACAATGACTATGCTCTGCATAGGATTCTTGAGAATATAGTTTTGTTTATCTTTTCCTAGCCTATTGTGTGGGTCGATACTCGGGGAACCCTACAATGGGTTTGATAAGTATTCTTTATAGTAGAGATTAGGGGTGGTTACAATTCTAATTTTTAAATTGGTACCAAAACCAAAAAACTAGTGAATCAGAAACGAAAAGGAGGGTGTGCAATTTTGGTTCCTGTTTTTGGAATTGGAACCAGTGGTTCAGGCTCCATTTTTTAAGGATCGTTTTTGAGAAAATAAGGGGTTTTCGAGTACCTAGAGTTGTAAACGCATCGAATCGAAACAAATACCAAAGCATTCAAATTCGTATTTGATTAATTTTTCCAAATACGAACTCGAATTTAAATATGAAAAGAATTATAAAAGAAATTTGTTTTCATATTTGATGGCTAATCGATTAGTTATCGAATTTTGAACGAACAATGATAATTTAAATGATGTGTTGAGATCGATTTTAATTTCTTTAACTTAACTTTTTTTTACTGTATATCAAGTATCATTAATGCACACGATTATACTTCACAATACATTGCTATTGAAAATGATATACTTTAGATATTTTATGTTACATTAATGTGATCAAATTTTAGTAATTTTACCTGATAAGAATGTGCTAACTTGCAATGAAATACTTTATTACCGAACAAGTATGCATACAAAAATTTCAAAGAAAACAAAGTAATGTATTTCTAGTTTAAGAAAAATAGAGATCGAAAACATACTATAAATCGTCAATATTAAACTATAAATTTGTACAAAAATAAGCTACTATAGTCTAGAGATATGATACAAAATCATAGTTTCAAAAATGAGATGGTTACATGTAATATATTCATATTAAAAAGAAATTAAATTACAAAGTAGAATATATCTATGTACTTAGATTGGGTTGTGTAGTTAAATTTGAATATATTTGTTAATATACTAAATCCAATATTACATATTCGAATTCGTTTTACTTCTGAATACTAAAAAGTATTTACAATCTTATTCGTATTCGTTTTTACAAATACGAATTGTGGAATTCAAATATAAATCAAGAATCGAACCAAAATTATTTGCTTCGTTTATAACCCTAAATGTACCTCCCAATCCAAAGGTTAAAATATATGGTCAAAGAAAGGGAGGGGGCCAAACCAAAACTCTTCGAAAGAAAAGCTAAAAGTCCAAAAGCCATGAACTCCACATTCTAAATACTAAACCCATCCCCTTATCCAAAGTCTAAATCTTACCCCACCCAAATTCTAAAACCCAATAAAACTCTAACCAAACTAATTTAAATAAATAGCAACATGAGAGGTCATGTGTTCGATCTCTGTTGAAGATAATTACTTTACGGGCTTCAATACATTGCGAATGTACAGATACTACTTTGTAATAGAGTTATTAGTGTTACGGGCTTCAACAACATGACCTCTCGTCATCCTGTAACCATCATAGCCATATCTTTCTCTACGGAGCAATGTCATATGCTCCTTAGTCTAACTCTGACGGGCAACACCTAGCATCATTCTTATACTCCAATTTCTTACTCAAACCCCCAATCACAATATCAACCAAAGCCAAAGTCAAAGCAGCAAATAGACCAACAAGACTATGAGGGTGTTTAGCACTGCGTTGCTTTTCAGAATTTAGCTTCTGCTTTAGATGATAATCATTTTATTCTGTTTGGCATACCAACTTCTACTTTTCTTCATCATCATTTCGTACATAGAACACCATTTCGGAGAAGCTAATATATATTGATTCTGTTTTCAGCTTTTGAGAAAATCATTTTACCCACAAGTTAATCACTCCCAAACACCCTCATATATGCCAAAATCTAAAGCCAGCTTCTCTAATCCAGGAGAACCAGTTGTTACTACAACAATAAGGCAGTAAGACATGCCTTATTGTTACTTCGACCATAGCTGCATATTCCTAAAAAGAGACCAAATAGAACCAATCAAACTTCAACGAGGATGATTTCTCATTCCCTTTTCTTGCCCTTGGCATTTTTCCCTCTCCCGATGGGGTGCTTTTAGCTCCTCCCATTGTTCAACGAAATGAGTGGCATATTCCCCTGTGCAGCCAAGTTTTCAGAAGAGCCATCACAACCTTCTTTGTCCTTGGAGGAACTCTGTTCAGATGACCTACCTTTGTCAATAACACCAGATTCTGGCAAAATACCAGAGCTTTCCCATAGAGGTGCTGCTTTAGATGAGAATGGCTATGAACTGAGGGGGTAAACACTTGATTCTGAAACTATCTCGGATTCTTGCCAACCGTTTCGGTCAGAAACTGAATCACTACTACTAGCCTTTCCTCCGGCATCCCCTTTTCTAGCTTCCATTTGCAGAGAAATCCCATCAACAAAATGAAGTTTAGGATTATCAATGATGCCAAGCAGGCCTATGTTGACATCCCTCTGAAGCAAAGATTCTGAGATGGACATGGGATTTCTCATGGAAACCCTCTCAACAGAGCAGATCCACCCTTCATCAGGGCCAGGAATCGGGTCCTCTGATAATCCCTTGAGACTATGGACAGAGAATTGAAGATCTGCAAGAAACAATTGGAAACCAATCCCTCTTTTTCCCTCTGGAATACAGAAGTAAGTGTGACCAAATTGCCGAGATTCAATCACCTTAAGAAATCTCCCATTCCGATTGCTCCGGAGGTGTATTTTCAGGGTTCTATTCCCATTTCTTTGCAAGAATTGGTGCGGTGGCTTACCAGAGGAAATCAGAGCAGTGATTGAATCCAACAGCCAAAGGCTACCCCTGAGATCGAACCAAATCGCGAATCGCTTTCCAGATCCGAATTCATAGATACACACCTTCTTGTTGAATGAGGACAATTCGAATCTGAACCTTTTCTCTTCGAATATTAGAAGCGGTAATCTTTTCGAGGTCCCCGTTGATACCTGTCTGTTGAAGAGCCAAGCCGGCAGCGATTTCTTCATTCGATTCGTTGGAATCCGATCTGCGCCTGATGTGTTCATGATCATCGTGTTGATCTATATCCTCAGCTGAAAACGACCGTCCCTTGTTGTGGGATCCCTTATTGACTAACGCCGGAGCCGCTGAACGGCGTGAGAAATCCGGCTGGCCTGAACTCCCATCTTTCCCCGGCTTTGACGAAATAAAATAGTGAGTAGTTGTTTTCCAGTTTATTTTGTACTCCGTAAAATTTTAAAAGTAAATTTTAAATATTTAATCCCTTCGTCTCAAAAGGTTTCTGATATTGCACTTTGATCATTATTAATTATTATCAATATTTAAGCATAGATTTGTTTTATAAAAAATTGATATTTCAAAATTACGATTCATTAGAAATATATTGATATTAAATTTATATGATAATAAAAAACATTTTTCCACAAATCGGAGTCAAAGTTCACAAATTTTAACTAAGAAAAATCAAATATGAAGAATATTTCCAGAGTGAGTATACGGAGTGGTACCTCCAATGTGCATAATACCGTGGTGAGAAAAATTCTTCCACAATATTTCCACTAATTCTTTCTTCCCAATTTGACTTTTCCCCATTTTTAATTTTTGGCTTTGACTTCAAATTTTGCCCTCCTTAAAAAAGATTTTTTGAATTTTTTTTGCAATTATTCAAAATATAGAGTTAGAAGATAATTGGTGTAAATACATGAGGGTATTAATGTCATTTGTCATCTTTTTTTCTAATAGGAAGGTAGTTTTAAGACGGAGAAAAAGGGGAAGTGAGAAGAAAATTTTAGGACAGAGGGAGTATTTAGTTTGTGAATAAAACTTAATTCAACTCTTCTCAAGTGACTATCTAGCCAGTTCTAAAGGGTGTCATCAGGGATGGACTCATTCGTTTTTTTATCGATGTTTACCTAATGTACTCCCTCTGTTCCAAATTATAATGCATGTTCACTATTCACATGGTCAAACTTCATTCACTTTCTTTCTCAATTTTCATTAGGAAATTGATAAAATAAAGTATTGTTGTCACTACTAGTTTTGTAGATCTTTTGATGTAGTATTTTAATATGTAATTTTTATTTTTTAACTATATACCATTTGTCATATAAAATGATTTGAACATAATTTCAGTCAAAAATCGTAAACCGAAACAGGCGTTATAAAATGGGACGGAGGGAGTAAGAAATTTTATGAGTTACTCTCTCCGTTCAAAATTAAACTACTTATTTACTATTGATATGATCAAATCATATTCACTTAGCTAATATATCTTTATTTGTCATTTGATAAAATGGATATAATCTTGTCACCTCTTGTTTTGAAAAAAAATTTATTTAGTTTTTAAATATATAAATTTTACTCCCTCCATCTCAATTTATACTGCATGTTTTGGTTGACGATATTTGACTGAATGATATTCAAATCAATTCAAATGAAAAATAGTATATAACTAAAAATTATGTATTTAAGACCTACTTTAAAAGATCTACAAAACTAGTGATGACATTACTATATTATTTTATCAAATGGCTAACGAAAATAAGAAAAGAAAGTTACTTGTAATAAAATTTGACCTTGTGAATAATAAACATGCAATTTAATTTGAGACGTAAAGAGTATTTTTTATGTCCACCAATTCTCACAATGTGTTGAATTGAAAATAAATTCAATTAAACAATGTAAAAATCTAAATAGCCAATTTAATTTGGAATGAAAGAGTAGTACTAGTAGTACAAGTATACTATTTATATTTTAATTCATTAGAAGCATACTTGAGATTCATACCTCATATGGATCCTCGTTCAATTCTTATATATATGCACAATTAGTTCCAATTACCAAGGTAATCAATCCTTATAATGAGAAACATGTTAATTGGGTTTTCCTCTGATTCTTAATTGTAGGATGAAATGTTTTTAAATGAGATATTCTACTCACTATTCGAAGCTAAATGGTTGTCCAAAATTTAACGTGCCATTTTGATTTAGTGGATGCATTAAGATTATGGAAGTGTATTCATATTGCAATTTACTATGAGCAGATGTGCATTTGGGTGTTTCTAAAGGTACCAAATTCAGCTTGACTCCACTAAGGAGGGGGTGGGGGTGTGTGTTCAGGTCGGAGCGGGGTGGGGGAATTTACCGAGGGTTAGAGGGGTAAGAACCGTCAATTTTACCAACGGGGCACCGGAGCGCCCCCGGGTCATCCCGTGACATTGGTTCCCAATGTCATGGGAACCTTCCCTTATCTTAAAATTGAAAACTATATATAAAAAAACCTTAGAACTACTTGTAGAACTGACTCCTGACACTGAAATAAACTAAGGATCCATTTGGTACACGAAATTGACAAAATTGGCAAATTGGAAATTGAAATTCTATGGAATTGATTTGGATGCAATTGAACTTTCCAATTTCAATTCATTTTGACACTATCAATTCCAAATCCACATTTTTTGTAACCAAACAACAGAATTAGAATTGTGATCCCCAATTCTAATTCTAGAGTTTGATTCTGGGTACCAAACGGAGCCTAATTGTAGTGTAACTTTGAGCTAAGCAGTATTAAATTGAACTAAACAGCATTGAAATGAATCCAACTAAACAGTTCCTTAGTGCGAGTCAAGCTGATAGTAAACAGTTCCTTGGTACCTTTAGAAACACCCAAATGCACATCTGCTCATAGTAAATTGCAATATGAATACACTTCCATAACCTTAATGCATCCACTAAATCAAAATGGCACGTTAAATATTGGACAGTCGTTTAGCTTCGAATAAATAATGTACTAAATCAAATGACGCGTTAAACTCCTCTTCTCACTTTCTATGACGTTTTGGACGATAAGTGTATTATGGGTCTAATTGTAAGACATCAGTACCAAATAATAAGGTCTGAAATTGAATCAATTTTTCCATATATGGATAGCAATACAAGCACTAGCATTTACAACTAGATTGTCCAAAAAATTAAACTTTTCATAGGTCGAAATAGTAAAGAAAGCGTTGCTTGGGTGTTGAGCTATGGCCTTGTCTGCAGCTATACAACTAAAAGTAAGCATATGCATATATATATATATTGATGACTATTAGAGCCTCACATTTCAGATGCATTTACCTTGGGAATTTGAGAGCCAGGGCAGACGGACCAGTTCTATGCAGTTCTTGGTCTAAAAAATCATCCATCCTATCAGAAGCTATCTCCAGTTTATCATGGGATCCATGGCATTAATGAATGGCCATCCGAGGCGCGATGAACAACATTTTGATTAGCTACCAGTCATCTATCGGTGTTAAAACCTGTTAGCAGATAGGAAATGCTTACGATCCATGAGATGTTAGATGATCACTAGCAATTTCGAGTCTTCAATTCCTTGGCAGCTTTTTTGAATTCCTCTGCGAGTATGCTTTTGAGTCTTTGCCTCAAGTTAGAAGCTTCTTGAGGCTTAAACCACTTCTTTCCAAACTGGAAAAAAGCAATAATGGTAAAAAATAAATGTGGGAAAGGCAAAAGGGAAAATTAGGAAAAGCATGGAACTGATAAGGATAGTTATAGCACATATGGCTTTCAAATGGACTTGTTCATTTGTGCAAAAGAGGACAAAACGATTACCATTCCTAGATCCTTCCTTTTCAGTCTTCCAGGAACTTCATCAATGAAGCGTTCAATAAAGAAAAGTACGAAAGGGCCACAGTCATAATCATTCTTTTGCTGAGGAACCTGTCATCACAGAAAATTGAGTAGAAGAGAAAAAAAAGGATGTTTTCCATAATTCTTAACGATACCACACAATATTAATCACCTAGATCATAAGCAGTAGAATTCATAAATGAGTACTCTGGGCAGGTTTATGGTAGAGAAGAAATGACAAATGTAACATCCAAATCCAGCTGTGGAGAATATCTTACCTCAATTTCTTTTTCCTCTATTATATCAGGGAGTTCATCCCATATGTTATCTGGAATTTGTAAATGTAGTTCAGACTTTGAGAACTTCCATTCTTCTACCAAAAATCTGCAAGAAAAATTAAACCAACTCAAGCAAAACCATTAACAGAAGTGTCATATGGGCATCAAAATGAAATCCATTATAGGAATTTCATTTGGTAAACTGAGTAACTATATATATCTCGGTCAACTTAGACAGAAAAACATCATAGGATTAAAATTTACTCCCACCGTCCCACAATGAATTACACTCTTCACTATTCAAAAGTCACGGGAACTTTTGTTTATTTGTGTGTTTTTATTGATTATTTGATAAAATAAAATATCTAGTCACCTCTTGTTTTGTAGAACTTTCGATGTATTTTTTAAATATGCAAGTTTTATTTTTTATTTCTATACCAATCTTTAAAAGAAATGAATTGAAGAAACTTGAGATTTTACTTCATTTTGGGTAAAGTGTAATTCATTTAGGGACGAAGGGAGTCTCACAAGTTTTTATATTTGTTACAAAATCACGTCTAGAGTGAAAGACTGTTTCTTTGCTCAAGGATTTCAAACCTCTCATGATCTAAGATCAAGACCACTAATGAGTTAGGTCCCTAATGAATCAATCAATGCACTAAGGAGGGACTTAGGTCATCAGTGTACTAGATCCCTTCCAGATCAGAAGATGCTCAGATCATGATGTAATCATGATCCGATGCTAAAATTTCAGGGGGGGCGGGAGAGTGGGGCACAAGATTTTACTTTTTATGTTCCAGTGTTTAAAACTGTAACAAAATGTCAGTAACCATGCTGAACGCTAAACTATAAACCAACTTGAACCTTCATGACTCCAACAAAAGGAATTTAGAAAAATGGTAATTCTAGTATGCAACTTCAATTGAAGCTACTC